GATAGACTACAAAAGTCAGACTTAGACTACAAAGTTTACTGATACACTACAAAAGTTGGATATAGACTACAAAGTTTACTGATACACTACAAATAACTACAAATGTCAGACATAGACTACAATGTTTACTGATACACAAAAGACTACAAAAGTCAGACTTAGACTACAAATTTTGCTGATAGACTACAAAAGACCACAAAAGTCGGACTTAGATTACACAGTTTACTGATAGACTACAAAAGACCACAAAAGTCGGACTTAGACTACACAGTTTACTGATAGACTACAAAGTATACTGATAAACTACAAAAGACTACAAAAGTCGGACTTAGACTACAAGGTTTACTGATAGACTACAAAAGACCACAAAAGTCAAAAACTTGTACTTAGACTACAAAAGTTTGTAGTGTGCGCTTTTTCATTAGAAAAGTTTGTAGTGTCCGCTTTTTGGGACTACAAAAGTTTGTAGTTGACATGTAGTTTATGGTGTTCTTGGCTCTGTCCAGATTATGGGGGTGAGGTTGAAGGGTTGACATGATCTTACTTACATATTACCAATGCTGCTGCATTAGTTTTTGACATTATGCACAAGTTGTCTTCACATTAGGAAAGGCTATCCTATGCCTTCATAATGGCACCTACTGTCCTATCTCAAAATATAATTATTATAAGTTCATGTGGAGATATGGCTGAAGGAATACCATGACTTTACATATTGCTATTGCCACATCATCACTTTTTCACATCATGATCAAGATGGCTGTCAAGCCAGAGGAGGCCATTCATGTTGATATCTACTGTTCTGTCTCAATACATGGTCAACTTACAACATGACCTAACTTAAGGACACCTCCAAGGATGAATCAGCCCATCATTCTATAGCTCTCAAAGAGCTGATATCAAAGTTTGGGACAGGCCAGTAGCTATCAATGTGAAAGCAGACAGACCAGTAACTATCAATGTGAAAGCAGAGAATAGCCTGTCCTGATGTGAAAGCCAACTTGGCCATGATGTCAAAAAGTGGTGATGTGGCAATAGCAATATGTAAAGTCATGGTATTCCTTCAGCCATATCCCCACATGAACTTATAATAATTATATTTTGAGATAGGACAGTAGGTGCCATTATGAAGGCATAGGATAGCCTTTCCTAATGTGAGAGACAACTTGTGCATGATGTCAAAAACTAATGCAGCAGCATTGGTAATATGTAAGTAAGATCATGTCAACCCTTCAACCTCACGCCCATAATCTGGACAGAGCCAAGAACACCATAAACTACATGTCAACTACAAACTTTTGTAGTCCCAAAAAGTGGACACTACAAACTTTTCTAATGAATAAGTGCACACTACAAACTTTTGTAGTCTCAAAAAGTGGATACTACAAACCTTTCTAATGAAAAAGTGCACATTACAAGCTTTTGTAGTCACAACAAGCGGACACTACTAACTTTGTAGTCTAAGTACAAGTTTTTGACTTTTGTGATCTTTTGTAGTCTATCAGTAAACCTTGTAGTCTAAGTCCGACTTTTGTAGTCTTTTGTAGTTTATCAGTATACTTTGTAGTCTATCAGTAAACTGTGTAGTCTAAGTCTGACTTTTGTGGTCTTTTGTAGTCTATCAGTAAAATTTGTAGTCTAAGTCCGACTTTTGTAGTCTTTTGTGTATCAGTAAACATTGTAGTCTATGTCAGACTTTTGTAGTTATTTGTAGTGTATCAGTAAACTTTGTAGTTGTAGTCTATCAGTAAACCTTGTAGTCTAAGTCTGGCTATCAGTAAACTTTGTAGTCTATGTCTGACTTTTTGGTAGTCTATGGTAGTCTATATCTGACTATTATAGTTTATCAGTGTCAATTTCTTTTCTAGGGCATGCACCTTCCTTTTTTGGTCATTTTTCCCATGATACAATAATTGTAGCCCTTTCTTCTAGCTTTCCAAATATACTGAAATCAGGTTGTTTGGTTTTGTTTCCATGGATAAAAATGCAAAACAAAAAAAAACAAAAAAATGCAACACTTTTGAAAATTTTTTACCTTATATCTTCACAATGGGAGCACTTTAGAACATAATTCAAACAGATTTGGGTAGCTATAGTGTAGGGCTACAACTTTCATTTTTGACCATTTTTGGTAATTGGTCATGTGACCATCATCCCAACATCCCATTATATGGACCCTGATAGGTAAAAACATTCTCCTCTTGGTTTTCTTCACTTTTGGTCAAACCAGGTGATGTTTCCTCTTTGGGATGGACCCTGAAATGGACCCTGAAGGCAGTGCCTGACATTCTGAGGGGGCAATGATAAATGCAGTAGGGTAGGTATGAAATAGCCCAGGCAGGGATATGAGATTGCAAAGGCAAGGATATGAAATAGCCCAAGGCAGGGAATGAAATAGATATGAAATTGCCCAGGCAGGGATATGAAATTGCCCAGGCAGGGATATGAGATTGCCCAGGCAGGGATATGAAATTGCCTCAGGCAAGAAATGAAATGAATATGAGATTGCCCAGGCAAGGATATGAAATTGCCCAGGCAGGGATATGAGATTGCCCAGGCAGGGATATGAAATTGCCTCAGGCAGGGATATGGAATTGCCCAGGCAGGGATATGAAATTGCCTCAGGCAAGAAATGAAATGAATATGAAGTAGCCCAGGCAGGGATATGAGATTGCTCAGGCAAGGATATGAAATTGCCCAGGCAGGGATATGAAATGAATATGAAGTAGCCCAGGCAAGGATATGAAAAGGCAATGAAATTAGGCTGGGTAGGCAATGAAATTAAAAGTCAGGCAAGAATGAAATAGCAATGAAACAATGCTGGGTAGACAATGAAATGGAAGGACAGGCAGTAATGAAATTGCAATGAAGTAGTATTGAAATATGTCTCAGGACAGTTATGAAATAGTCATGAGAAGCACTGGTAAAGAAATGAAATACATTTCATAAGTTTTGCCTACTCTTCTCATTTCATAAATTCATTAGGCAGTGTGGATGTCGGTGTGCAGGCACTTGCCTGTATTTTATCATAAAAGTGGTAGCTACCACTCGGTCGGTATGTAAAATTACTCCATTATAGGGACTCAGTGTTTAACCGTGTCTCAGTTTTGCAGGAGGTGACCTTGTTGATGGGTCTCAGTTAGTTCAAGTACATATCAACGTCATCCTACACTAACTTTCCATAGAGCTACTTGTGGCTTAGTTGATACCTTGCACAGTGCGCCTCTCATTCCAGCCTCCCCTCTTCGAAAATCCTGATATCCTCCCCAGCTGACCCCAATGCACCTGCCACCCCTGTAGGAAACACCTACAGCAACGTCTACGTATGTCATTGCTCACAACTGTGCACTTGCAAAACTAACAGTTATGCCAGCTGAACTCAGAATCTTTCCTTTGGAACTTTGATACCACTACAAGTATCTTGACAGGTAAGTATGAGTTTATTCGCTCGCTGTTCATCTCTTCATGCTGTTCCCATTTATAGCTCAGTGGGTCAATTCTGATTTATGTAAGTTAGTATACTTCGGGGATCTATCTTGCAGATCGTAGTTCTCACTTGTAGGTAAACCCAGGTCGACCCTTTGGTGGGATCCCTCCAGCAAATCTTATCTCCAGCTTGTCGGCGACATGGTTTCATTCGCCTTGGCACATCCCAACGCTGGTTCTGTGGTAAGCTTTTTATTGCGCTGAGACATACTCTTTGTTCATCTTTGTTTTTATTCTAGGCGTTTGTTGTTACCAGCAACTAAAATTGCTCCGGACTTGTGACTCCTCCTACTCGGACTCTGTCCCTACTCTGTCAGTTAACAGTAAGGTTGTGTTTGATTAGGATTTCCCCTCCAGACAATTAACCTATTTCCTAAATAATGTCGCAATTTGCTGCACACCATCTGCGACAAGTGTAACAAGATAGTTGAAAATGTTAGGGGAAGCCCAAGGGAAGCCGACTTGGCGACTGCACAAACCTTGAACAATACCCTTTGCTGTTTTTGCTGTTGGAAATAAGCTGGTCAATGACACACTCTGGCAATGTTACAGTGTCTCTCGAGGCAATCGAGGTTTGCGAGAGGTATGTACCTACGCATAAGTAGTGTTGCTGTTGAAGCAAAGTGAGTTCAAGGTCACTTCGATTTGATTCGGAAATGACACCACTTCGAGGCAGTTCAAGCTATCAAAGTGAGTCAAAGTCGATTCGTGATGGCCATCAAAAACTGCCAGAAATGGAAGGTTGCCACATGTGAGGCGAGATTAGTGTCGCGTCCTCCATCGTGTCTCCTACCTAACTCTTTCCCCTCCCTCCATCCTTACTTTCCACTTCCCATCAAATAATTATACCACCTGACTACGTATTTTTCTGAATTATAGGCACAATTTCCAAATCATATGATCTTTTTTCTGCTTCCAACTGAATATAAAAGTGGCACATATTTGCGAATGCAATATAGCTGTCCAATCCCTCATTTTCATCCATTATGAATTTACCAGCTTTGTATACCCCAGGCTGGGAGGCACCTAGTTGTGTTCATACACCTCTTTCTACTCATTCCCGCCACCCAGTCACTCACCGCTGGAGCTAGATCACTTCGTTCAAAACCCACTTCAAGCTGACACATCGGCTGCTATCCCACTAACAATTTGTTTTTGTCATCCTCAGGCCATCAGACTTCTACACTGCTCCATTATAACACTTTCCATGGCCAATATTTTGCCAATTTTCTAATCCCCGCCCATTTAATGGAATCCCAATGCATCCAAGCTTTTTTCATCCCACATGACACCCTCTTCGCTACCCCTACAAAATTCCAGTACTTTGGATATATAGCACTTTTTATTGTGTTCTGTAGTCTAGATACTCTACAATAATTTCGTGCAGCTGAGGCTTGAGGATACCAGTGATCTGATTGGCTGATCAACCTTTGGTGATGTCCGACTTCGCTTCGATTCGATTTGACAGCACGAAGTAGTGTAGCATTTCATTCAATTTGATGGTCACGCATCACGGTGCCCTTCAAATTGCTGAAATGTCACAGTTGTCACGCAGATTTTTGTAAGGTGTCGAAATCATCTGGCGCTCATGTGAAAAATGTCGAAAATTTTCGTGGCCTGTGGCACTAAGTGGTCGAAAATTTGCCCAAATTTTCGGCTTGTCACGGCGAATTTGTGTGGTTGTCGAAACCAAAATTTCGACAGGCCTGTCACGCATCACGGGCCCTGTCGAATTGAATGAAATGCTACAGTAAGTTGAAGTCAGCACACTTCCTCACTTCAATTCGATTTGATTCGCTTTGTGGCAACACTACACATAAGTATGCACTCATCACCTTGCTTGTCAAGGTCTCCCAAGGTCATAAATACCAAACAGGTACAAACAAACAACCCAGGGGCCATGGGGGTCTTTTCTTGCATATCATGCACGTGAGCAGGCAAGCATGACCAAACAAACTTTCTACAGGCATGGGGCTCTTTTCTTGCATATGGCGCACGCGAGCGAGCAAACCGGTGCAAACAACTGGTCTTTTCAAAATATCGTCGTCTCTTTCTTAGTGCTCCAATGTTTATATACATAACTATGTAGCGCTATAGCTCTTGAACACTGTTTCCTTTGTTACGAAAAAAAAGTCACATAGTATTGGTGCAAAGCAGCGTATTTGTCAGCAAGCAAGGTGCCTGCTGCCGCTGCTAAGTGTCAGCCTCTAGTTGACAAGTTTGATCAAAGTTTGATGGGGCCTCAATATGCCGATGGCATCATCACCGCTCGGCGATCCCCGAAGTCAACATCGCCGCCACACTGATTTCTCAAACTCTACCTCTCCATTGCAATCCACTTCTATATGTCTCTCCACACGTCCATTACGCTTCAGTACTCAGTGTGTATGTTACTTATATGCCAGAAGGATCTTCCATCGAAACCCTCATTAAGATTGTTTCACCTGTGGAGAATGACATGGACTCCAAATGCAATCTTCCGAGGCAGTGTTGGAAGGTCATGACTAAAAACAGGAAGTCACGGTCATGACTTTGATGACTAGTCATGACTAGTCATTGGCATCGATTTTTGATTGACTTGCACGTGATGAATGACTTCGAGGGAAGGTGAGTCACCGTGATGGTAAGGGTCTGATGGGAAGGGTCTGCCCTACTTTGAGAGTGGGGATTATCAATAACATAATGAGCAATTTGCGTGCGCGTTGGCATATGCACTCTGTACTACATGTGTGAAGTATATATGATCAATCCAACATTTATCCGGAGTGCCAGGAGTGATCAGAGGAGGGCCAGAGTAACAGGCCCGGGTAGTCTGAGCAAGGAAAGAAATAAAAGGACAGGAGTTGTGAATAGATGCTTACATCCTCAAACTAAACAACCAACTCTGTACACTGTTCTGCAATTTTTCAGCAAATTGTGAGGCTCTGAATTTATGATTGTGACAATCTACTAATTTTTTGAAGAAGAAATTATGACAACTTCTGATGTTGTATACCAACGTCGGGAGATCCTGCATTATCTTGACGACGTCACAAAGCAGGATCTCATGGAAGCTTGGTCATTAAGTTTTGACGCTGCATTTGCAAGCAACATGGCGCAGTTGGCGCGTGAATGGGAGTGTATTCCCCCGAGTTCTGAACGGGTGAAAGGGATTCTCAATGAGGTTTCTTTGCTCATACAAGTATGGTTGATAATTCTATATAATTTGGAAACTCTAACTGTCACTATCTAGAAACGTCTTACCCAAGGAAATAATACAGAGCGCCGTATACTGGTCACACGCCGTTTGTCAGCTGCGCTTGGATTTCGGAGAAGAAAGACGCCCCCCGAGGATAGCGACAACTCTGATCTTGAGGACCTTCCTTCCCTTGTAGATTAAATATTTCAAATACAAATTCCAGTCTTTTGTGCGCGTCGCAGTGACCGCGCTGTACAAAAGTTCGTTGCTTATCTAACTTTGATCTAACTATCTTACCTTATTTAGTAAATGGTGACCAAGTCACGGTCAATTAAGTTTTTCCCACGAGAAATTGGGTCCGCCAAATTTTTGGACCAATTTTTTGCCTCAATTTAGGGTCCTTGATGACCAAAACTACTCAAATCTCGTCGGTTGTGGGGTAAAATTCTTGGTAGTGATGGTACCATCTAACAAAAAGTCACAGAAATTCTAACAAGAAGGCTGACCACAGATCAGGGACTCTGGAGGGGTCCGAGCGGAGACTAAATATGATTGATCACTAATCAATTACCATTTTTGGCAACTATCAATGAATTTATTTACCCGAAATGGATGGATAAAAGTTGCTAATTTTTATGGGATCATAACCCTTTCATCAAAAAGGAGTTGATTGCACTATTTTTCATAATTTTTGGGTGAAATTTAGGGTCCGCCAATATTTTGAGGCAGAAAAACCTTATTTTGGCGATTTCTGAGGGATCGGCTCGATAGAATTTGATGAAAGTGGTATGGCTGGAAAGCTCTCGTGAATCTGCGTCGATTCCGACTATTTTCGGGGCTTTAAAAACAAGTTAATATTTTTAGATGACTTTGCTTGTCCGCAACTGTACCATTGACTAGTCAATGACCGGCACATCACTGTTCCGAGGCCCAAAACGCTCAGACTGGCTCGTGCAGCGTGAGAACTGCAGTTGTCAAGGGTTACTCAGCAGTTTTCAATTGGAGATCCTTGTTCTCCCCCTTCCCACCGTCACAATCAACGCACATTTCGAACTCATCTTGATCAAGGAACTACAAGTCAAGCGCGCAAATGGCTCGCACTAAGGTATGCAAATCTCTCGCTTATCGTCTTCAGCGACGGTGACGCTTATCTTATCGTGTTCGTTATTCCCAGCAAACAGCCCGAAAGTCCACCGGAGGTCAATCCAGTAATTTGTGCCGTGTTGTACGTAAGCCTAACTTCCCTCATTTTTCTAGGCAAAGCTCCTCGTAAACAACTTGCTACGAAAGCCGCTAGGAAGACCGCCCAGGTTCGTCTTAACCCCTATCATCGCCAACGTCGCTGCGGACGGCGTGGACATTATAACTCCAATTTTTCTGTCTCCTAATGCCGACGCTAACGTCATCGCAGACCGCTACTGGTGGTGTAAAGAAGCCTCACAGGTTCCGCCCCGGAACCGTCGCTCTCCGCGAAATCAGGCGTTACCAGAAGTCTACCGAGCTACTTATCAGGAAACTTCCTTTCCAGAGGCTCGTTCGTGAGATTGCCCAAGACTTCAAAGTACGCTGTTCCATTTATCGTCGTACCACTGTCTCGACCACCTTTTTTTCTTCTCCAGACGGATCTTCGTTTCCAATCCTCCGCCGTCATGGCACTTCAGGAAGCTGCAGAAGCGTACCTCGTCTCCCTTTTTGAAGATACTAACTTGGCCGCGATTCACGCTAAACGTACGTTTAAACTCCATTCTCCTTCGCCTCATTCCTTCCACTTCTCTGCCTTTTCGTCTTTCTGTATGGGATGTGTGTTCCGAATCCTTCCTCACCTTTCCTTGAATCCAGGTGTAACGATGTAAGTGCAGGCTACTCTCTAATTACTCTCTGACGCTCACCCATTTACAGTCAACCCAAAGATCTCGCACTCGCCAGGCGTCTTCGCGGGGAGAGGACCTGAGCCCCCTCCTCTCATGACATTGGAACCAATTCCTCCCATGAATGTCAGCTTCCGTTTCATCACATATTTCTCTTCGCATCTACATTACGTTTTTTCTATTCCATATGTTGTACTCCCTATAAACGGTCACCACTTCTGTATCTCCGGTGTAAGTATTTCCTGTCTGTGTTCATTGTGAATGCCCTGTAGAAAAGAATACTGTAAAAGTTAAAATTCCACTCAGACTCAGGAGTAACATCCTTGCCATATTCTTATGGGAAAGTTGGGTATAATCATCCCATGCTCTTACAGATGTACGGAATTAAGAAGCGTTGGCTAATTCAAACAAGGAAACGAGGCCGAGTCGACATAGATCTAGACCCCACGTGCTCTGATGTCACGATTTCACGGTATTATAAATCTCAATCGCCTCCGCTCCTTGAACCTTTCACCCCAACAACGACCTCATTACCATGGCCAACACTCTCCCTGACCTCCCTTACGCCTATGATGCACTCGAGCCTTATATCTCTCGCCAGATCATGGAGCTTCATCACAAGAAGCACCACCAGACTTACGTCAATGCTTTGAATGCGGCAGAGGCCGCCTATGCACGCGCATCCACTCCTAAGGAGCGCATCGCACTTCAGGCTGCACTCAAATTCAATGGCGGAGGTAAGTGTAGGGCACAAGGATCAATACTGCATTCATTATTTCGTAGGACATATCAACCACTCTCTGTTCTGGAAGAACCTTGCTCCTTCTGCTGAAGTAAAGAAAGGAACAGGCGGGGTCTTGAAGGATGGACCTCTCAAGCAGGCCATCGAACGCGATTTTGGCAGCCTCGACAATTTGAAGAAGCAATTCAATGAGGCGACGCTTGGAATTCAGGGATCTGGCTGGGGCTGGCTTGTGAGTCATTTTCGCCGTGACTGTATCTACGATGTTTGTTGATGTATATATTTAGGGACTCAACCCCACCACCAACCGCCTGGAACTGGCGACTACTCCTAACCAGGACCCACTTCTCCATATCTTTCCTATCATCGGGGTTGATATCTGGGAGCACGCTTTCTATCTCCAGTACCTGAATGTTAAGGCTGATGTACGTATTCAATTCGATTCGTCACTTCCTAGTACACTGACCCTGTGAAAAGTATCTCAAGGCCATTTGGTCCGTCATCAACTTTGAGGAAGCCGAAAAGCGACTTTCTGAGGGTGCCAGTTACAAGCTATGAACGTAAAAGACTGTCCAATGCGTCAGTTTATGTAGGAGAAGGTCAAATAGCCGAAGCAAATTATATAACGTATCCTGGTAACTTTCGAACTACTTAGTTCTTTCTCCATATGAGTACAAAATTTACAAGATGGGTTCTCTAACAGGTTGGAGTTTTCTAATGAGGGTTTACAGCCGGTTGTGGGATACTCCAACTCCATTCATTACGCCAGTCATAGCGCCTCCTAACGATACTACTGTAAGTCGCGGGCGGTCACAACACTTTGAACCTTGAAAGCTTCGCCTGAAATCTATGATAAGTAATTGATTCGTTCGGGATTATTTGCCCCGGTTTCTAGGCTCACAAGTCATGCAACATGTGCAAGAGGGTTGACCAGGGATTGACAACATAATGTCAACATTGAAGGGTCATCTTTCCTCTGAGAACGATGTCACATTAGTTGAGCCTTGAGGTTGCCTGGAGGGATGGTTTCCAATACATTTCTCCCGTAACCCTTTATTCGGGTTTCTCCATAACCGGTGCCACGCATGGTGGCATCACAGCCCCCACGTCGAACTTCAAAATAAGCGCCAACGACCTTGATCGCAACGTCGTCCGGTACTCACCCTCCCGCCACGAACTCTTATGCTGCGTGGTTGCTTAGTTGTGATTGAGGTGCGCCCTCAATTTCTTCATAATCCCTCAAGTGTTTTTCAGGGCGCCCCTTGAGGAATTTCCGCCTACCTTTCCAACCGATGCGCTCAAACTATCAGTTGAGATGGTTTGTCGAGGAGCCATTACAATCCAGTGTTCCGTCTGTCTCTGTGCACCCCGAGGTGCGTTCCGTTGCATGTTTGACCGTTTCATGAATCACCATCCATGCCGTTTTACTCTCGTAGGACTGGCTTGCAGAGGATGGTATTTAAGGGTGGCTCAACATCGACATCCTCATCAACTCATCGACATACTTTCCTTCTTTCTAACACCTCTAGCGCATCTTAAGCATGTTAACCAACAATCCTTACGCTCAGGGCGGCTGGCACAACCCACAAAACCCTCACTCGATCAATGACCAAGGATGGAATTCTAACGCCTCTCATCCGCCTACATTCGGAGCACTCCCTGCCTTCACTTCTTCCCCTCCAACAAATTTGGTGTTCGAGTTCACCGACGTTTTGAACTGTGCTGTAAAGGGCCCGGGAGGGAAGCCCTATTTGGTCATTGCGACGAATCAGACGTCCACTACGATTACTAAACCAAATGGCGAGCCCGTTGCGAGGGTTGGATGGCAAACTCATCCCTGGGTTGAGGTCGTTAATATCATCAACCGGCAAACCACCTCCCTATGGCTGCAACTTTCTTCTGACCTCAGGTACACGCGTTTTCAAAGTCTTCTGTAGTGTGACTGACAGAATGTAGCTACCGAACTATGACTTTTGGTGGACGCCCATACGCTTGGGTTCCCAATGGCGGATCGATTGTGGTATGTGCTTTTTCTGTAATTGCTTGTCCCCGACGATGCTCATTTTGCGTCTAGTTGTCCACTACAGGTCCCAGCCCTCCCGAGCAGCTGGTCAGAATTAACCGAGCCAGTAACAAAGTTGTAATGGAGATCACGAGTCAAGCAATCCATGCAGGGCTTCTGGAAGTCTCTGTCGTTGCGACGGTATTGTTCCAATCTGGAAGGAACTTGGCTTGATACCACCTGTGCGCAGGCCGCACCGCTGAACTTTACTTCGCCAACTTGAAGGTCCACATCCCCCCTATAGATGAGAAACCCACTTGTATTGCTAGATAACCATACTTTTGTAGCACCTAGCTTGATACCTTACTCATTTCGAATGTCATTGTGTTCATTCTGACATTGATGGTTGATTAAGAAAAAGCCATATGGCTATGGTCATGAACTATTGTGTTGAGAACGGATTTCGACTAGGGTATCTTGGAAAGTGTTTGGGAAGCTTGCTCAGTTTTTTTTGTACTGAAATTGATCTTTTTATCTCGACAACATCTGATGCAAGTCCACACAGAGGATCTCGGAATCTAGGTTCAACGCTGAGAACGAAGTCTAATCTTTTCAATGTCGACGAGGGGATTTTCTTCTTCCATTCGGCGAGATTTGCGCATTCGTATTGTAAGAAATTTACTAACATAACGAGTACCGCGATAAAATTCAATCCTTGTAAAAACGCAGAAACAGCGTCGGAACGTACCTCGGTAACGGAGAGTTTCAAGCGTTTTCCGTTGCAAAGATGCAACCGTTCTTGACAAACTCACGATGGCCTCTAAAGTGCGAAGATTACTGAAGTCTAGCACCGAGGCGCCATCCGAACGCTTGGCGTCAACGACCACCTTTGCATAGTTTCCAGGGGGAAAATGGAAAGCCGAAGTATCAAAGCTGTGGGGCAGCTTCAACACGGCGTATTCCTGCTCACCGCTTTCGCCTGCATAACGAATTTCACTGATCGCGAGGTCCCCGAGAATGGTACAAGGGAGAAACACGGTGACTGGGATATCCCAAAAATAGGAAGCTTGCAAAGGTGTCAAGGGGCGCGACCGGATGAGGCGCAAAAAAGTTCTTTAAACGGGTGGACAAAGTCAGTTCCAATCGGCAGAAGACCCACTCAGCTGAAAATATTGAACTTGGTGAAGGGTGAGACACATCATCGTTGTCTGCCTCCTCTATCACTGCCTCGTAGATGAATCGATGACGGTCCGCAGAAGGTTGAGTGATCGCGTGACTTCGGAGTTCCAAGTGAGTTCATCCTCTTGTCAGCAGCCAAACTCCCTCTTGACCTCTTCCAGCTCACTGCAACTCTTCACCTAAATTTTTACAAATGCAATACACAGACACTCATCACGAGCCGTCGTCAGTGTCTGCGCCAAGTGATGGCTCTCGCACGCATACACTAACCAGTGGCGCCACACGCGATCTCGAAAACGAAGACGAGAGCGAGGCCCCGAGGATAGTGGGCACTCTGAAATTGCGAGGCGCGCAGTCGAAGAAGCAGCAGAGCAAGGCCAAAGTGGCTTGGGACGAGGATGTGGTAGACAACGAAGGCTGCGGGAAAAAGAAATCTAAGAGTTCGTCTTGTTCAATTAGTCCTGTGCTCCATAGTGATTTGGAATTATAGTCTGTTGTATCTATCACAAACCTCGAAGATTTGATGAGTCTTCGGACGAGTCCTCGGATTCTGCTGCATCGGATTCAGATTGTTCTCATGGCTCACCTGCAGACAATGCTGGCCTCCGTTCACCATCAACTCTCGGACACCACGTTACGAATATCCGAGGTGACGACGCAGAACCCAACGCATACGAGGCAACGCCGAGCAGCGGCAAGAAGAGGCGAAACGTATGACGACGCCTACGAAGGCACGTGACCTAGAAATGGACAGGTTGAGGACTTCGGAACGTCTTTCACCATCTCTCTTCCACCATCTCGCCCCGCCTATTTGCTGTACAGTTCCCTCCCTATATCTATATCCCCTAATTAGAGGACAATACTCAACGATTTCGTTCGTCTTTACGACTATTACAACCACATCACACACAACAACGCCAGCATGAAGCATCGCATCCTATCATTCACCGCCATGGCTGGGTCCATGGCATTTGTTAATTCTGCAGTAGTACAAGCACCAGGTCAACCTTCTGAACGAGGCGTGCTAGGCGGTTTCAAAATCATTGGCGAAAGTCTTGTCAGCGCTGAAGGGGTAAGTCAGCTCCATCCACACCTCCCCCTTGACTAAACAAACGCCTTTACCAGATGTTCTTAGGAACCTCGGACAAAGTTTATTTACTGGACAAAGTGGAGAACAATCCCACGCAGGTGAATGGGCGGGCGGCGTCGGCGTCTGGCAAGTTTTGTCGCTTCTCATTTTGGGGCTTATTAATTTACGCAACCGTTAGAATACGCGGTTGATTCAAACGGAAACAGGGCGATGGATATCTCGCCTAATTCTTTCTGTTCGAGCGGGAGTGTTCTAGGTAATGGGACGTGGGTCAACATTGGCGGGAATGGGGCCCCTACCACAAGCTCTGACGGGCGGAGAGCGTGAGTCTGTTGAGTTTAATTTTCAAATTGTGCTGACGTTGAATTATAGAATTCGGTGAGTCTCGCTGAGGTCTATCGTTCTAAAAAATTTCACGTTATTTTAGTATGCTAAATCCCTGCGACGATTCCAACTGCAACTGGTCTGCCTCACCCGCCAAGTACGAACAACGGTGGTATTCGAGCATGTACGTTTACGCAGAGTACCCGTTGGATATTAACTGACCTCAGCTATAGGGAAACGCTCAAAGACGGCAGCGTTATCATTGTGAGTTTTCTCCTGCAGTACTCTAGCTTGATATTTATTGTCCTAAGCTCGGCGGCGCAAGCGGCGACGGGTATTTCAATGACCCAACCAGAAACAATCCAACATACGAGTTCTTCCCGCCAACTCCCAATGGTCACCCCATATCCTCCACCATTCTCACCAACACCCTCCCGGCAAACTACCACCCACTCATTTGGCTGGTTCCGTCAGGAAGACTGCTCATACAATCAAACTGGGCGACGGCACTCCTCAATACTACAAGTAAGAAAGAAATCCCCCTTGACAATGTGCCAGATGCGGTTCGCACATATCCCGCTGGCGCGGGGTCGGTGATGTTGCCCATGACGCCTTTGAATAACTGGACGGCCACCATCATGTCTTGTGGAGGGCTCAATGTTCCTCCTGAAGCGTAGGTCTGCTATATTTGGGTATTGAATGTTTTTTTGAAAATTTTCTTTCCGTAGATGGGGTGCTCCTGATTTCAACCCCATGCAACTTAGCGCCTCTGTGTCTTGTGTCAAGCTTATGCCTGACTCTTCTGGGAATTACTTCCACGACGAGGACTTACCCGAAGGACGGATCATGATGAACATGATTAATCTTCCTGATGGCAAAATTCTAGCTTTGAACGGGGGTAGGAAAGGTGCGTGCTTTGTTATTGCAGTCGACCAATCCTACACTTAAATTCCTTCACTAGGCAGCGCGGGCTACGGGAGTCAACCTTGGGCGGTTGGGCAATCCTACGCTGACGACCCGGTGCTGCTACCTCTTCTGTATAATCCGCATGCGCACACTGGTCGGTGGTCGAGTGACGGCCTCTCTCCCAGCACCATCTCCCGGCTGTATTCCTCGTCAGCAACCTTACTTCCTGACGGTGGGTCTAATCACCTTTCTTTCGTTACAATCCGTACTAATGTATCTGCATTTCTAGGATCCGTCCTCGTAGCGGGTTCAAATCCCAACATGGACGTCACCAACGACCCGAACGTCAAATATCCTACTGAGTACCGCATGGAAAAGTTTTACCCACCCTACTATAACACGCGACGACCCCAACCGAAAGGTCTTCCCTCTTCACTGTCTTATGGAGGCCCAGCGTTCGAAGTTTGGCTTGATAAAGACGACCTGTTCGGTGACGTGAGATCGGTGGAGAATGCTACTGTTGTCGTCATCCGGCCAGGGTTTTCAACCCACTCGCGCGTAAGTTGGACCCATTCCCTCACATCTCCTCACGACTAAAGCGGCACTTACTTAGAATATGGGCCAACGCTACGTCCAACTCCAATCAACTTACACAGGGTTCAAGAACACCACAGCGGTCTTGCACGTCTCCCAGCTTCCGCCCAACCCAGCCATCCTCGCTCCGGGCCCAGCGCTGATCTTTGTCGTCGTCAATGGTATTCCTTCCATAGGTGTTCCCATCATGGTTGGTTCAGGCAAGATTGAACAGCAAAAGGTCTCGCCGGTCGGTGGCTTCCCTTCGTCCTCGATTTTTGCGGTCCAGCAGGACGGAGTGGTCCCTAAGCACAAGACTAGCGGTGGTGAAGAGTCGAGGCGGAGGTTGGGGGATGCTTTGTGCGAGTGGCTTTTGGTGTTTGTTTCGGCCGTAGTGTTGGGTTGGTGAGGTTTCTCTTTTGGTGGACCTGTTCGGAGTACATAGCGCACGACTATCTTTCATTCATTTGAGACTCACTGTACTTTATAGGCTCGCAAGTATTATGTACGTTTACTTAGTTTCTGTAATTCATCTGGTACCGGTGGAGGTTACGCGCCTACATGAATACGTCATCCGTACATGTTTGCACATGGACCACGATACTCACAGTGTCGCCTGAAAACACCCCAAGGTCGTGCTCAGTGTGGCTTGCATCGCCCACCATGCATCATGTCGGAATTCAAAGCAAGGCACGCCCGGTTTCGGCCGCATTTGCGCTTGGAGCCGAATGGGTTTTGATATGATCTCGATATGAAATTAGCCAAGCGGATCTTTTTTTTTCCTCCCCGAGACTCCAGCTTCAGCTCTCAAAACTCTCCATGCAAGCTGGGCGCAGCAAACGAAATAAGGCGCGAGTACATGCAGAGATTCGAATCGCAGAGCCCTTCGTCGAGGCCAAAGACTCGCAGAAGTCAAATTCACCCGCTGGCCAACAAACGCTGGTGTCGATACTCAAAGCGCTGAAAACTCACCTGGCGTGGATCCCAGCGAACTGGACATGGCAGAAGTTCAAACCTCTCATTAGGTGTTCAGTTGCCGCATGGTTAGCTATTGTGTTCTTCGTGATCCCGTCACTTTTGAGGGCGATGGGTGGAACGGTGCGCTGTTTGCCTCTTCGTCCATACAATGGAGACTCATAAAAATTTTCAGGCGGACTTTCTCATTCTTATCGGTAAATATTACCTTGAGTCGACCTAGTTGTCGGTTAATGTGGATGGTCAGTCTCCTTTCTCGCCCCACCCAGTGACCCTTTCCTGGCTGTCCTAGAACGCGAGGTTCTAATCCTACTATTCGTATCGATTACCTGGGCGTTAGTGTTTCTCACACAAAGTTTGCGTCACAAACTCATCCGCTTTTGTAGTTGGGTTTGTCTTGGCATTCGTTTTGCAGACATGGCTCGCACAGTCCATGACCCGTCCGCGCCGCTTGCCGAGGTCATAACCGGCAAATTCCTAGAACCTGGCGTGAGTACTGGTGTACTTGTGGACCTTGTCCAATATTGATGCTGTTGCAGCCTACTGCTATCTTCGCGGTTTTCCTGTTTCTGGGAAGCGCGGCTATGCTGTACACCAAAACTCGACAAGGACCGGGTCCTTTCAAGTTTGCGTGCGATTTTAGTGCCTTTGTCCTTGGTGCGTGGTCCACTGGGTGAGGTGTCTTCCAAGCTGATGTATCATTGAAGATATTCCCCTGACCACCGCAGTCCTGTTTCCGTACCCCTTTTATCAAGCAGGCACGGCCGTGGTGCTCCCGATTGTCTTTCACTCCGCGCTAGCGCTCATTACGTCGCTCATAATTTTCCCTACCACCATATCGGAACAATTCGCTGAAAAATTGCAAGGAACCATATCTCCTCTCATCGCTTCCCTTAAACTCCATCGAACTCTCCTACAAACTCCGGCTGACTCCCCATCTTTTGTATCGATGGCTCAAACGATTGTGAAAACTGTCAATCAATCGGAGGCAGCCCTGGGTCCTCTCGCCGGAAGCGCCCGTCTCCTGTCAAGTGACATCCTTTATAGTCGCTTCGCACCCAACGACTTCTGCGAGTTTCAAGACTTATCGCGACGCTTTGTCGGGCGGGCCAACGGATTGGCGCGGTATTTCACGTTGATCGACCCCACGAGAGAGAGGTTTCCAACCACGCCTGCCCCATCTCTGCCTAATTCACCCCTAGTGTCGAGTTCGCCTCAGGTGTCGAGTCCACCTCGGGTGTCGAGTCCTAGGTTGTCGAGTCCTCCTCAGGGTAGGCTATTGCATCACAGAACTTCAGTCGAAGACGACGATCAAGGAACGGACTCAGATTATGTGGAAAACGTGGCTCGAGGTCAAGTTTCCCCTACACCCTCGATGCTATTACCTGTCGGATCACATTCCCGACCTACCTCCAAACATCATCATACCGCACATCATCATACCGCACATAATCATCACGCACATCAACATCATCTCCTTCACAAAAACTTGCTCAAAGTGGCCACAGGGCGGGTGCGGAAGCAAGAGGCTGCTGTGGGTGTATTCGCAATTTGGCGTTATTTAGACATCGAGGCGGCACGCTCGAACGATCCTAACTCTGAACAACATACAAGAAAGGCGACGGAGCTGTTGAGCGACAGGTATGTTTCATTCTCATTCGAACATTACACTTGATCTGAAATCTACTTAGTTGCGACGACCTGCTAAGGGCGTGTATAGATGGCTTGGTCTGCCTCAATGGATGGCTGACATCCGTTCGAGCAAATCACATAGGCTTCTTCTCGAAGACGGAGGTTACGGAGGCTCAATGGCAATCAAAAATAACACAACTTAAGAATTTGAGAAAGGATATTGCCGAGACCTTGAAAGAATTTAGAGTGAATAAAAGGTGAGAGTCTCGTCGAACCAGAGTTGAATGCTACTCTGACGAACATGATTCGGACTTAGACACATAATACTTCAACCCTACCGCCTCGCCTTTGAGACACCTGATGAAGATTCAGGTTCAGATTACGAAACGCCCCCTCACAGGCACTTGTTCAATTGCTACGTATATCAATATCACCTCATTCAAATTTCTGAGATCGTCATCGACGGAGTACTCCTTTCCGCTTTTTTTCGGAGTCGTTTACTTAGTAATTGGCCTTTGATAGATCGATGAAATCATAAAACTTGAAGAACTTCGGAAGAAAAACCGTCTGTGGACTCCAGGCCGTCTTTCAAATCCATTTCAAGTTTTCCCGAGCGCGCCTACTGATGACGATGATGATCCTGGTGAGTGGCTGTCAGGGCTTCACCAACAAATACTAACCGTCTGACAGAGACGATTCAGGGTGTTAAACCATCCGCCGCCGAGGAGGAAGACGCTCTTGGGCAAGCACGTCATAGAGACCCTGATGCTTTACCTCCTAAGAATGTCTTGGAATGGTGCATGTACCATTTGTACCTTGGCTTGACCGGCCTCGGACGAGGCAACATGTTATTTTCAATCAAGGCCGGGATTTTTAGTGGTAAGGTCACTATATCAACTGGTTGTTTCTAGTAATTGAGCTGAGGCTGCTAGTCGTCATCTGTCTCGTCTTCTTCCTCAGAAGTTCGGCCACGTTTGCATACGGTACGTCTGAATCAAATACATATGCCTCATTTAACCTGTAGATGTTTCCAGAGAACCGAGCTGTTTGGGCAATGTATGCATTCCACCTTCTGCATATTTCTCGATCCTGAGATATGATTTGAAGAATAATGTTTCACTTTACCATTTCACGCTTCCGAGGAGATACGGCGTATATTTTAGTTTCCAGAATTATTGCAACCTTTTTAGGTGGCCTTGTTGGCGCAGCAATGTGGTGCGTGCTATTCATTTCGGCCCTATAAAGTCCATCTTAAAGCTTTCCGCCGTTTCAGGTATATCTCATCTGGGTCAGGAGACGGAAATCCATATGGATTAGCGGCAGTATGCGCTGTTTTCTTTCCGATTTTCTTCTTCATCAAGCTGTATTGTCCAATAATGCCGCTTACCACCACCGTCTTTGCTTTGACAGCCAGTTTGGTAAGGATATTCAGGCAATCTTTTCACTTAAATTCAGTATGTTGCGGCGCAGGTCGTCGGCTATTCCTACCAGGACGTTTTCATTGTTGTCCCAGGCGCTCCAGGTTTCGGTATAACTGTTGCTTGGGTGCGTTGCCCCTTGACTGGTTTTAGCCACGTTCCTGACCTTTCTCCCATTTTAGAAACGGTTCATCCCTGTTGTGGTAGGCGTTGTCGCCGCATTGTAAGCTCCATGTTCGTGGTCTGCTCAAAGTCTTGACAACCATGAGTTACCAGCCTTGTCTCCCTTCTCCCCCCTGCAACTACGATCAGGCGTTACCACAGGACGCTTTTGGCCACAACATCGTCAGAAATTGGTGTTCTATATTGTTCCATCATTTCCTTTGCTCACGGGAGGGAGGTGCACGACATTCCCGAAATTGTTCAGAATCTAATCGCGATTCGGTCCAAGTTAAAAAAAGCGCTTGCACTGAAAGAAAATGTCATGTACGAGGTATGCATCGCCGTAAGCTCCTAGCCATTTAACTTAACCTTTAAATCCTTAGTTTTCCCTCCGCGGAACGTGGCCTGCACGGCGATATGAGTTAATATTGGATCTTCAGCTGTCAGTAGAATTTTATCTAGATTTGTCACTGTGACTAAGCCAAACGCATGCAGGTCTCTTTCGTATACATTATCCCACCTTATGTCGGTGATAGAACATATGGAACCGACTTGGACGCGAGCATTTTTACGGAGAACTAGGTTTCTAGATCCCGATTTCCAGGGAGACATTCTCGCGGTCATAAGTAAATTTCCTGAAGCCGCTTCGTTTCTGACTTTGCTCATGTCTCGGTATCATGTAGCCATGATATCTACGTCGTTGAAGACCGGCAATCCATTGCCACAAATAACTCCTTGCCCTCTACTTGATCGTTTTAATATGCACTATCACGGGCTTGACGTGTTCCACAAGGAAAACAAGGACGATTATGGCATACCACATTCTCTGACTTTTGAGATGTTGCAGAACGAGCAATATATGTGAGTTGGACATTCATTACCTTCGATATTGAAACCCTCTGAAAATATTTTGAAAGGATGTTTTGCGTGGGCGTCTCTACTGCTTTTGCCTTCATGCATCGTCTAGATCGGTTGATGATGGCGACAAAAGAAGTTGTAGGCGAACGGTACCACATCAGAGGTCTAGGACATGCTCGATCGCGTCGGGCCAGAGATCTCAGTCCTCGTTCAAGCGCCCTCCAATTCCGTCCCCCACAAGACGTCTAACGTCGCGGCCTGTCAAAGATCCGTCGAGATTCCATGTCATGGAATTTCGCGCAGAAGCGCACTCTATTTCACAGGTGTCACGGGTGTAAGTTCCTGGCTCCTCGCCAGACTAAATGAGTGTGCGCCATGCTGGGATAAATACTTACTGTGTGAAAGCTCGAGAACTTGAAAGCCTGGACTTTTTTTTCCACCGCCTTTGGGATAATTGATTAATTTGGAATGTAAAGAAGTTATGTACTTGATATCACTAGTTTAATATAGCCAAAAATTGGGATTACTGTCGCCTCATTTCTCCCCTCTTGTAGTGGAATATGGTAACGACGTAAAACGGTTTGTGCTTTATGACAAAACGTGTTTGGAAGTCAAGGCTTTGCCAAACATTGGCGAATGTTCACAGCTTCAACGGTATTGCCACAACGTTATCCTCTAAGTATGTTGCACTTCGAGAATTCGATTGGTCCCGAGATCACCGAACCAACGGAAGACTCTCCTCTCCGTGCTTGAATCACCTTCACTCAAAATATGAAGCCTCTAACTGGCACACGTTCGGCATTTTACTGTATGCAACGGTGCGTTTCATTACCCATGCCTACGACCGAGATGTCCGCCGATACTGCGCACGAAAAAGGGGAATTTTTACGGATGGACTAGTAGGGTTCTCCTCATGCGCCCAACGTTCCTAACCCAATTCTCGCGATGGTCTGACCCATCGACCCTAAACCAAGAAGTGCCTGTTAGCTTGCTCGTCGATGACCCCGCGTAATTTGGACCGTATCCGACATGGCCGTAGGCAAGTGCGGTGCTCCCTTTCTGTGCAATAGGAAGTACATAGCTCGGTTATCGAGTGGCCAAGGGCTCCAAGCACCTATTTAATGAGAGCCATGAATAACCTATTCCTTACTCTAATAACGACGACATGTTCACCACAAATCCCTACACCCAAGCGGGGTGGTCGAACTCTCAGAATATCTTCTTCGTTCCCGAGGGCACATGGCGCCTCTTTCCTAGTCAAGCTCCAACGTATGGGGCCTTACCCTCTCCCGACGGTTCAGAAAGTCCCGATGCTGTGACTTTCAATTTCGATTCGCGCGTCGATGGTCCTTTGAATTGCTCTGTGTTCGGTTCGTCGAGGCATCAAAAATATTACGACATCGTCACTGAGGATGGACCGCCGAAAGTGGTCAAATTTCAAAGACCAAACAGGAAAACCTTTGCCACAATCGAGTGGTCTCAACAGCCAGTGATTGAGATTGCGGAATTGGTTCCAAAGAAGTTTGCATCAGAGTGGTTGTTCATCTGTCCCGGTCAAACGTGAGCTTTGTTTTTTTGGTAGCTTCGTTGAAGGGTCCACTGGCAACCGCTCATACGTATGTCAAGAATTGCAATTATGGACCTTGGGGGGGAGAAGTACACCTGGATGTTGCAGAATAATGCGATCTATGTAAGAATCTAGAGTCTACTTTTAACCGTCACTAATCAAGCGTCATAGCTATACAAGCCGCAGGTATTTTCTCGAGGTCATGCTGTACTGGCGAAGATCTATCGGGGGTCAGAATATCTCTCTTTAAACGTCAACATCTCGCTCATACAGGAAGGGAAACTGGAGGCCATAATAGTCGCGGCTGCTCTGCTACAATCTGGTTAGCTGTCCTGCCGTTCGACTAGGATGGTGTTTTGTGCGGACTATATTTACTACAAACACAGGACATGACTCTCAAGGTCGAGGTTGGGTTGAGGATGTACTATCTTATCAAACTCCTTGTATCATCGATTTCAGTATTCAACTACATAAGTATGGATTGGGGCCTTTCTTGGGGCTCTGTTCACATCCACTACCACTCCTTTAAAAATCGGCCTAAAACGAGAAGTTTAATATCGATTCAGAGGTACTGTTCATTAATCTAATCTAATCTATAGGGTTCGGAGCGGCCCGACAGGCCTGATGGCATCACCAACAAAATTCGCGACACCAACCAATGACCCTGCCATTTTTTACACGGCCTCCTCCGAAACAATACCCAAGAGCGAGAGACAGAGAGAGAGATTGAAGTGAATTGGGCACCATATTCCAAGTAATTCGATTCCTGTCTCTGTCTTAGAATTCTCAATAACGATCGCTAGGTTTCTCGACAAGACTCGAAGCCCTCACGACTCACAAGGACTGCGTGTATGTTGGCTCAAAGTTCGAAATCACACCAAGTCAAAGCTGCTTACCGTTCGTGGTACTTAGCAGGCTCAATGATGAGAGGGTTTCCTATGGCGAGGGCGCGCCGACTTGCCTCAAATGCTCTTCGGGCGGGCCCATCGTTTGTACGATGCCCTTACAAAGGGGCCACATTCGCGCTGCAGTCTCGGTCCCTGAACGTTCGTGGTTTATATTTTCGTTAGGACATGTACAACGTCAATCTCAACAGATTGCTGTCGAAGGCTGCTGTCATGGTGAACTCGATGCTATCTACTCGCACGTCAACCACCTCGAAAATAGGCACAACTACAAAGTCGATGCGTTGCTCATCTGTGGCGATTTCCAAGCCATGCGTAACAAAGAAGATGTGGGGAATATGGCTTGTCCGACCAAGTACAAGGTTTTGGGTGGTTTTCATCGGTGCGTTTCAGTTGGCTTTCGGAGGCTTGAAGCTGATATGGTAGTGAACGGTAGGTATTACACTGGGCAGAAGAAGGCCCCGATGTTGACGATTGTCATTGGGGGGAACCATGAAGCTTCGAATTACATGTGGGAGCTGTGAGTCTCTTTCTCCCTTGCAAACCTTCTTCTTGACCGAACACCATTGTAGATACCATGGTGGCTGGCTAGCGCCAAACATCTACTTCCTCGGCCACGCAGGGTGCATCCAACTCAATGGTATTCGAATCGCTGGTATATCCGGGATATACAACGAAAATCATTACAACCTCGGTACCCGATACGTCTCACAACACTCTTCGTACTTTACTTAGACACTCGCAGGCAACTACGAACGCCTGCCGTTAGACCCCAGGACAATGCGAAGTATCTACCACACGCGGGAATACAACATCAATCGGCTGTCTCTTGTGAGCTCCCCCTCCCCTCCTCCCTTTCTTTGTCCTTACAAATCTGCCCAGCTTTCACCCCCGTCGATTTTCCTCTCCCATGATTGGCCCCAAGGAATCGAACAATACGGGGACACCGACGGTCTCCTTAAGAAGTCCCCGCATTTCCAGCACGACATCCAAGACAACACCCTCGGCTCTCCCCCCCTCTTGCACTTAATGAAGACGTTGAAACCTGAATGGTGGTTCTCGGGCCACATGCACGTCAAGTTCGAGGCAACGTATCCACATGAGAAGTCGACTACGAAATTTCTTGCGTTGGACAAGTGTCTCAAGGGGAGGGAGTTTTTGGAGGTTTGTTTGCACACCTCACCGCTGTCGTACCCATCGCTGAACTGAAACCCTCTTGGATAGGTGATCCAGTTCCCCGTGGCTTCGTGTCCTGTGCCCAACCCGAAGCCAAAGCTAACCCTCTCGTACGACCCAGAGTGGCTCGCGATAACCCGCGTTTCCAATCCCTACTTGTCGCGGCGAAAGATTCAGTGGCCTTTCCCAGGCGCGGACGACGCTAGGCAGAGGGTCGCGAGGGAACTCGAATGGGTCACTGCAGCATTTCCTAAGCCGGAGGACTTGGAAGTAGAGAGGGTACAGCAGTTCGTCAAGACTGTTTATGGCCCGACGGGAAAGGGATGGGCGCGTCAAGGTGAGATTAACCTGTTATGTGAAGCGGACTGGGCTGACCGATGTGTATTGTAGTGAGCCGCGAGGATGGCAACCCGCAGACTGTTGCATTTTGTGAGGCGCTGGAGATTGAGAATCGTATTCGGGATTAGGATGGGCCTCCACTGCGTCGGAACAGTCCGATCGAACCTGTCCAAGTTCGACGATATCAGATATGAGCGCGCAACTTTCTTATCAGCTGCTTCTCACCATGTCATTCCCAAGCCAGCCTATTGCTGATTTCCGCTGTATATCCAGTTGGTCCTGTTTTCTATACCCGTAGAACTCACTGACCACTTCGCAGACCTCCACTCCACCCAACACTGTCACAACCCCAACTTCTTCCTCAAACATTAACTTATTGCTATTACTATCATATCGGCTATCTTGTATACCCTCCCATCGCTGTACGCCTATAATGCATGCTTCACCTCAAATTTTTCTCGGTGCTTGTTCCGGTTATTCTTTTGTGCCAGCCGGTCCCGTCAAGGTTCCGTCGCATCGAGGTGGTGTTGCCGTCCCTTGATGCTTGCCATTGGAGTGCAACGTTAGTTGACATGCTTGTGAGCGTCCTTGTAAACTCCCCTACCGTTTCTAAACATATTGAACTAATTGCTCTAGGGCAGACAACGGTTTGCGGTTCCGATCCATACTCCCTCCTACTGTTACTTCGCCTTAACTGGCCATCGGTGATCACTCAAACCTAGTGTGCGCCTGGGTGTGCACACCCACGGTCAAGTCAAATGATTGGTCTGAAGCACGTTGTCTTCCCTGCATGATCACCCTACTCCGCTCAATTCATTCTAAATGGTTAGATCATCTTGCTAGTCAAGCCCATTACGTTAATACTCTCGACGGTGATCTTTCCCCACTGGTAATTGGAGATCTTTCGAATGTGCCCCAGGAATCATGTATACTCCCTAGCGCTCTGTAGCTAATGAGAAGCGACCCAGGTTCAATAATTTATTCGTTGTACTATTACGAGGTATGTCGATCCTGATTCAAGCCTCCACCATTCGAATTTGAGTTATCATCCCACAGGTAAGTGCTTCTCATCACGAGTCTGGACCCGATGCGCAAAACCTCCAGCGCTGTTTACCACATTTGTCATGGCCTGTTCTTTGGCCTTCTGACAGGATTGAAGGGAGTTTGTTATCCCATGCCCATCAATTGTGATCTTCCGCCACTTGACTCACGGTGTGGCACTCACACTGACAGTTTCCTTATTGAATAGACGAGAATCGAAAGTTGGAGTAAAAACAATGGATTATAATAATCAACTGTTCTCCCATGCTACGTCGTTTTTTGTTCTCAAGCTTCATGGACCCAAATTCAACGCTGATTGCTGAACCTTCAAGGTGCTCGAGTCGATAGACGCTCGGCATCGCGCATTCGTCTGGCCCTGCACCAAAAGCAGTCAAAGACTGCTCACGAGACTCAAAACAGTCAGGCAAACGTAAATGCCTATCTGTGTCCCTTTCCCCTCACCGATCAAGAGCTCCTAGGAACAATCTCGGACAACATGGAAGTCTAGCCCACTCCTGGTGAGATTACTCTAGTGGGGCTTGCCGATCTTTTTAATTGTCGCGGGAGGGTGGTGGCGTCGGGAAATTTTTGGGAGAGAGGCTTTCTCGTCATTTGGACTCCCAAGGGTACTACCACATGAGGAAGTTGCAACGTTTTCTCTCCAATCCCTGTCTGCCAAGTTGAACTGCCTCCGATCCACGCGCATGTATGGAGGCAATTGAGTGCAGTGCTATTTATTGCATTTCCGCGAAAATCTAACCCACAATTGCAAGTTTCAGCTTTTTTGAGTTTGGAAACATAAAGGAAACATCATTGATCTCAACCTCCCTTTTGCTTGCAATTGTAAGACCCGGACACTCATGTAAAATTGGCGGAAGGGAAGATAGATGCATGATGCATGATGAAGTGCGCATGCTCCAATTACCTCGCTTCGGTGGAAAGATGTTGACGAAACAGAATGTAGTATCAGTCGTTGGTGGAACAGATGACCGCCGCGCCGTAGGATTTTCCGGCATGATTGAAGGGATCGGAAATCGTTCCGCTACTTTGCACTAAATCTTATCAACACAACGGACCCATTAGGCATTAACCCCATCCTGCTGAATTCGTTATCAAGGAATTTGAAATACAGGCGGCCTACAGAGGGTCTTGGTCTGGTCCCATGACCGAGGTATGTATATGTTGCCATTACTACGTCGTTTTTACTAGCCTAATTTGCGAGGGTAGTCCAGGAAGGAAAGCAGCGTGCGGCCGCCTCAGTGGAAATTTGTTGGAACGAACGTGACGGCTTCAATGGGTGAGGATTTTCGGCTTCTTGCTCATTTGTCGTCATACCACCCCATCATTTGCATCAACCTCATACTAGGCGGCGAGGAAGAAGAAGGCTAGTGCTCACCAGGCCTGCTTATCAGGATCTTGAATGATTCTTTTTTTGGGATAAGGAGAGTGAGCGCATACCGCACGCTTTTATCGTTTCTCAAGACCACTCAACCGTTGTTATAGAGAAGTATTTCTTTTTTATTGGAGAAGGTATGTAATTCATCAGAATGCAACTTTGTTCTATGTGCAACTTCAAGTTGACGATTTGCTTGAATCATATTCCTCGCTTGTTACAGTTAGAACCTGCATGTCAGACGTCTCTTCGCATCATGACGTCTCACTTGTACCGTGGTACCCTGTCTACGACTCTCTCCCAATACTCATGATACCGAACAAGTACGTTAATTCATACCACTCAACGTCGGCTAAACTTGAGCCGGGCATCTCACACTGTGCGCATTCTAACCTTGATAACAACGGAACGCAGCCAACTTATACATGATAAATTACTTACCCGGGTCCAACGTTCAATCAACATCCAACATCCAACAAACGCTCTGAGCCTTCAGTACTTACGTTATTATTCATCGTAAAGATTGACCCTCAGGTAAAAAAATGAAGATTTTAAAGTCAACCGCGCCTGCCAGTGGCGGGTGTCATCGAAAATATATCCACTTTCAACTTGATCTCAATTATCCGGGATCCCGCCAACTTGAAGCTTGCTCCTCATACGCATCTTCCCCACCTTAATCGCCACGCGCGTCGGCGTTCCTGGGCACCGGTACCCCTCCAAAGGACCTGGGAAAGTCATGTCAAATGCCTGATCCCAAAATCCCGAAATCTGGCCATTTTTGTCCGCACGAATTCTCCCAAATTTTGTCCGCACCGCGGATCAGGCCTCGCTTTTGCACAAATTTTGTCCGCACATTGGATCAGGCATTTGATAGGCAGGATTCAAAAAATTTCGCTGCGCAGCTACTCCAGACGTATGTGAAGGCTAAATGTAAACTAAAATCTCGGCTCTCGGGTATCTACCTATCCTCGTAAGCCTCGCCGTCTGCATCCACCTCTTCATGCTCTACACCCTTTTTCTTCTTCCCGTGCAATACAGTAACTGCCTGAGCAAAGAGCATTCAATACTTTGAAGATGTCGTGATCTTCTTGTGTTGGTGTGCATTGTAAGTACCATCATCCATGGCTTTTGTGGATGGGTCCTGGTCCGTGGGACAGTGTCCGAAGAAACTGAGGCGAAGTGAGAAGAGCGAATTCAAAGCGAATTCGAATCGGGATTTGGCACGAAATTACAAATTACAACACGCTAGCTACACTATGTAGAACGAAGCTCAGCGGATGCGGCCAGAAAACATATCATAGTAGAACATCTATAAATTTCCAAACATTTTGGCCCAATTTTTGTCCGCAATCGGCTCAGGCCTTCTAGATTTGAGCCACTTTTGTCCGCACATCTACATCAGGCATTTCCAAAAAAATTCCAAAATTTTGTCCGGACAGTCCTCAGGCATATTCGGATTTTCGTCAAATTTTTGTCCGCACAGGGATCAGGCATTTGACATGACTTTCCCAGGTCCTCCCTCCAATCACTTCGCGCTTCCGAGCGTTGGCGTACCTGTTCCTGTCGATTTTGATCGAGCTCGACTCCGAGGCCGCTGTCTAACTTAACGTTAATGAGGTAAAGGTACGATACTTGATTGAAGGAAGGAAGCATAGGACCCCGGGCAATAGCAGGAAAGCTCTGGTCCCGATCCGGACAAAAAATGTGGATTTTAGGCCCTACAGCTGGGGGCCAATCCGGACAAAAAGTGACAAAATTCGAAACTGCCCAGAGCCAGAGTCCGGACAAAATCGACGAGATGTCAAAAAAAAAGCCTCCCAGCCGGTATTTGGGCATAGTTGTGGGACATTTGTGGGGGGGAAAATTACCCTGATCTGGCCGTCCGGACAAATTTTTGAGATTGGGGTGTAGTAGGCCAGGTCCAGTCCGGACAAATTTGGTGCAGAGGCGTCCGGACAAAAACCCAATTTTCGGGATCAGGCCTTTTCTGCTATTGCCTGGGGTCCTGGAAGCATCTTGTAAGGTGTGTACCTTGTTCCTTGCTCTAGATTCTGGACTCGACGGGGGATGGGCGGGTGTGGAGAGTCGTTCTCACTCTCACTCCACAGCGCTTGTTGGGTATGTATGTTATCTTGACGTTGACTGTTGACAGGAAAGCGGGGGGGTCTGGACCTTTTTTTTCTTCTTCCTTTTTGACGGATTATTATCAAGGTAGGTCGATCTTGGTCATTATTAGCGAGGTAGAGCGGAACGTTCGAGACTCGGAGCCATCTTTTTCTCCATAGATAAATGGGGGTTTTGTAAGATAAGGGCATTCAAGGACCCCGGGCAATAGCAGAAAAGGCCTGATCCCGAAAATTGGGTTTTTGTCCGGACGCCTCTGCACCAAATTTGTCCGGACTGGACCTGGCCTACCACACCCCAATCTCAAAAATTTGTCCGGACGGCCAGATCAGGGTAAATTTTTCTCTACAAATGTCCCACAATTATGCCCAAATACCGGCTGGGAGGCTTTTTTTTTGACATCTCGTCGATTTTGTCCGGACTCTGGCTCTGGGCAGTTTCGAATTTTGTCACTTTTTGTCCGGATTGGCCCCCAGCTGTAGGGCCTAAAATCTACATTTTTTGTCCGGATCGGGACCAGGGCTTTCCTGCTATTGCCCGGGGTCCTGGCATTCACTGAGAGAGAGCTCACGACGGCCTGGGAACCCCAATTTCCTTCGGATCAATATCACCTCTCACCCGTAGGCTGTCGGTCGACATAGACCTCCGATTCCAATCCGACGATCATTATAAATTACTTGCGCACGCTTTTTCGGAATAGAATCCGCCTTTCGCCCCATGCTTGAATTGAATTCAGCTCACGCGCCAACGGAATAGAATCCACACTCCAGTGGAATAGGAGCATGGTCATGAACGGATGTATAACCGCGATCATAAATTATTATATGTATGTCGGGAGCCGTCGTGATGCATCATGTGGTCGATCCCGATTCCACATACATAACATACGGAGGCGCTCACATGCTAAGTGAGAAGGGCCCTCGAAAAAAACGTACTGTAAGATGATCCGTTAGTTTCGCGAGTAATCCGGAGAACATGAGTATGAGACGGTAGATATTTGGGTTTGTGTACTTACTTATTCTCGTCCCCAAGGGTGAATAAGCACTGAGCTCCATCTTTGAACGTGCGTTGAATCTGATTTATGTATGTACGTGAACCTACGTGGGTTGAGGTGGTCTAGATGCAAGTATATGAATACCGATATCTGTTCTGGATCCAAGTGCCTACGGAAATCTTACCACTTCCAATCCATAGCGGAATATCTACACATGAACGACGGAATGATTTCCGACTCTCTCGCTAATGCGCCTTGCTCGCATTCACTCGAGACGCGTTCAACTCGCACTTTTGCTTTCACCCGCCCTCGAGTTCTCGCCTCGAGCTCGCCAAACGGGCGCCCTTGTGCCTGAAGAGGTGATATTAAAACGCATCTCCGAGCCGAGATCCTTTGCTGCAGAGTTAAATGCGACCTTGATTGTAATCACCATGTATAGACATGAGAGCCTGAGAGTCGCGTGTTGGAGGGAGAAAATGAAGGGACGGGGGGAGATTTGAACAAGGCCCAAGGCCCAGATGCACCGCCACCCAGGGGTAAATTTGACCTTGCGGTGTTTCCGGTGAAATTTGTTTTGTGAGTTGGAAGGGGTGCCCTTTTGAAAGACGAAACTCGTAAAGACGAAGGGGGTGAGCAAGACGGGTGAGCTCGCGAGGTTGGGCTGGTTAGGACCCTCCGTTCTTTTCGTGTTGGTATCAAAATTTGATTTATTTGGATCTGATCCAGAATTGAAACCCCGCATATAGGTACCTTGTTGGGATTGATTGATCAGGTACGTTTGCTTATATCTATGCCTTGCCTTCTTTCCTCGTTTTTTTTCGAACATGGACCTCAATCCATCCCCTGAAAGATCTCCCCCTGATCAACATCACCATCATCTCCACCAAGCGCGCGACTTGTCCCGCTCACCAACGTCTCCTATGTCCACGGCTACTATGGTCATTGCTCAGGCCCAGGTACACCACCACCACCAACAACAACAACAACAGCAGCAGCAGCAGCAACAGCAACAACATAACGTCGGCGGCGGGCCTGGGGTGGGCGTTAATAAACGCTATAGGCCAGCGCCGGCGAAGACATTTCAATGTCGGGGGTATGGAGATTGTCGGATGGTCTTTTCGAGGAGTGAGCATCTTGCTCGGCACATTAGGTTCGTTCCCTCGTTGTGTAATGTGTGTTGTGACAGCAGACTCAAAAAGCCGTCACGCAGAAAACACACAGGCGAACGTCCATTCTCATGCCACTGCGGTAAACAGTTCTCGCGCCTCGATAATCTGCGCCAACATGCTCAGACGGTCCATGCGGACAAGCAAGAGCAGAACGAGCGCATGATGCGCGATTTAACGTCATTGCATGCTACGATGGCTGCTGCTAACAAGGCTGGGAACATGCGTGCTGGCAGTGCCGGTGGCCGACGAACGACAGCGAACAATAACACCAATGACTCACAGCTGTCTCCGTCCTCGCCGAATGGCGACGAGGACGGGCTGAATTTGATCAAGCAGGAGGACTTGGGTGGGATTCCGATGCATACCCGGCCTGGGACTACGACTGGGTACGAAGGCGATCATGGCGGTTCGATGATGTATCATCATCATCAGCATCATCAGCAGCACCAACGGAGCTCATGGCACGTCGACATGGTCCAAAACGATATGGTACATACAGATATGGACCACCACCACCAGCACCACCACCGAGCCAGTCCCAGAGGGACAAACCATTCCTTTCGTGACCCCAGCCAGTCCTTTCTTGCCCCATCTCAACCCCAATCATCATCCAGCCATTCCTTTCTCGCCTACCCAAGCAGCACCACCACCACCTCAAGGCCCCCCACTTCGTCTGGTCTTGCCTCCTCAGATCCCTCACGGTCCCTCCCACCACTCAGTGCAGTCGTCTCCGCTTCACTCACCCCACCACCACCTTCCAATTCCCAGCTCCAGCAGCAGCATTTCGCCGTCCCTCAACAACCACAACACCTACTTTCCTTTCACACACGACGACCGGGCACAGCTCCCTCTTCACACAATGGGGGAATGGGGCTACCAAACCCAAACTTATCATCATCGGGCGCGTATGGTGGACGAGGAAACAACAACAACGCGAACGCCTTCCCCGTCGTTGTCGAGTTGGGCGTCGGGGGACAACAACAACAACAATACGATGACCCATCATCTTCATCACCGTCTTCGACAGGAGGACATGATGCATCCCCTTTTTACTTCCACCCACCCTCCTCCTCCGACGTCAGCGGCAACCCACGCAAACGAGCCTTTGGCGGACCGGACGGGCCTTCTTCTTCCCTCACCTCAGGATTGCCAGGAGGAGGGGGAGGGGCAGGGGGGGCGGAGTATGAGTATGGAACGGAATCAAGGCCTCAGAGTCGCCGGCTCTCCGTTATGGAGCTCTGCAATGATAATGGAGGAGCAGAGTTATTATTATCAGCTGCATCGCAGCGGCTTTCTTCAGCCTCTTCCCCGTTCACCTTTGCCTCAGGGGGAGGGGGGAACTCGAGACCGACGACGTCTAGTGGGCTTGGACTCGTCACTTCTGCAGGGGCACTCCATCTCTCTGACGGGGATAGGAGTGCATCAGGGTCACCACGTGCAGCATCAGAATCAGAGCGAGCTACACCTGCATTATTCGCAGGAGCTAGGTATGCAGCAGCTAAGGCAGGCTGTGGGGATGGGGTTGGGTCACCCCAACAACAGCAACGGGGTGGGACTGGGTCACCACAGCAACGGAGTGGGGGTGGAGCCGAGGACTTCACAACGGGAGGGGCAGGAGGAGGGAGCGTACTTCCGCTACACCACCACCACCACCACCAGCACGGGCACAGACAACGGATACCTTCCACCGTATTATCCCAATCCCAACAATCCCATGGTGGAGGCTACCTCGCCCACCAAGGGAGCGGAGGATCACCTACATTATCGACACCTACATCCTCACCGTCACCTACCAGTTCTACGTACAGCTCTATCGATATCCGAGGAGGAGGAACAGATGTTTTTGGGCTCGGGCTCGGGTATGGGTTTGGTGGCGTTCCACCTGCGTCAGCCACATCAACAACATCAGATGGGGGGGAATACGAGTTTCGAGGATACCCACAGCACCACCAGCAACAGCAGCAGCACGAATACGAGTATGTTGAACGCCAGTTTACGGGGCGTGGGGGTGGGGAATTCGGGTTTGGGGGAACACGAGGGGGAGGGTACGGGTATGAACGGCACGGCTTTACATCAACCTCGACTGAATACGAATACGAGTATGGAGGATTCGAGTTTGATGGGCAAGTTCGAGCGGGAACGACTAGGGCGGGAGGAGGGGGAGGTTTTGGGATGAGGGTTTGATGGGGACGTGTCCCTCGACCCGCCTGGGCTCGACTCTGCGGCTTCATCTCGACCACCCTGACTCGGACTCGACTTCCTTCCTTCATCCGATGAACAATTCTACCGACCCTTTCTTGTCTCGTCCCCTCTTCCCTCCCTCTGTTCCCCTCCTTTCATTTGTTCACTCCTTCCTTCCTCGTTATTGTTTGTTGTAACCAAAACTTCACTTTCGCTGCACATGCTTACTTATCATATACCTTCACCGCATCGTCGTCGCTTTCCTCACTAATCTCTCTCTCTTCTTTTTTTTCCCCTTCTTTCGGTTTTTTATTCCGGTACTTACTTACCCTTTTGATACCACCACCCAAAACTCCAAAGCTCAACTCAAAATCGGAACGGCCTCCTTTTCCTTTTCCCATTTGCAACTTGTAATGCTACTTACTGTAATACTTACCTACCTTTTACCCCTTCCCTGATCATGTGTGTGTCCTGCTCTTCCTCTTTTTTACCTCTCTTTTGGGATGGGTGTTTTATACGTGTTGTTTTACTTATTATTACTGCATTATATACACGCGTGTACCAAATGCATAAAATAGCCGTGAAATCAATTGGTTGTGTATCCACTCCAGGTTTTGAGAAGAAGTGGAAAAATGCCAATTACTTACTTCTCGGGAAACTAACGCCGATCAACGATATCAGATCTTTCTTTGACGATCTGCGCTCATGAAAAACGTCAATCGCACGTCAGCCGGAGGTTGTACTCGCCGTATTACCTATTTTGTATTTCATGAAGCTGAAACGGGATAGCTATGAGATCTGCGATGTAGGGTGGCGATAACACCTTACGGAAATGAGTTTTTCGGCCGCATCATGCATGCAGCATGATATGGATGTTGGAATCAGAGCCTAGAGGTTATTGGCTTTACGAATCGGTTGATCTCATTCATCTTGGGTTGCAGAGGGTGCAAGGAAGGGAACGTGAGCGTTGGTTGATCTACGCGTCCAAAGACGGGATTACTCACCGATTGTCCGAAGGAGATTTGCCAGAGGATATCGAAAAGTTCCCGGGCGCAGAGGTCATCCTGTCATTTGGTTGCGGACGACGACTTCTTCACGAGTAAAAGCTGGTTGAGAGAAATCAATCAACAACCGGGTTATTTGAACGAGATCTTGGATTCAGTTGGAACTTAATCGTGAGCGCTGACGCTGACGGCCCGACTTGCTCGCTTGGGTGGGGGCAAAGTTATCGGGCTTGATAACCAGCAGCCTCATCTTCGTCGTGAAATTAATGAAGTTTGCATGCTTAAAGGCTGATAAGGACTTCGAGATACCGATCGGTTCAGGATGGTAGTTCTGCCTCTTGAAGTGGAAGATAAGGCGACTACGCAATGAAGAACGTTTGTGAACGCTCACCGGTAAGCCTTTCGGCGTTCGGAAACAGTCGCTTGGAAGGCAAATGCAACTCATGTTCTTAGTATGGCGGCGTGGGATGAAGTGAGGGTTAGAACGTACGTAGAACCCTGTCGGACGCGCACTTGACTTGTTTCCCGAATTTGTAATGTATGGGAACCTAGTTAGCGAAGCGAAAAGGCGAGATGATCAGCACAACAAAAAACATGTAAGATGTGGATCACCGGTAAGATAACCACTGCCTTTCAAAGCTCCGATGAAACTCGGCTTCAAGCTTGTAGAAAGCCCTTTAAGAGGAGCTTCGCCAGACCTATAGTATCGTTTGAGATCAAAGTAAGAGGAGTCGTGATGAACTATAGAACGGGGAGCTGTGTGTGTATAAACACGGCGCTCCCAGAAAGATGCCCACGCGGGAGAAGTGGGGTCATAGACGGAACATGCGACAGGTATGTGTAAAGACAGGTGGGTCCAAGGTGGGTCCAAACGTGAGATTCAACGACCAATTCTTCGAACGGTCCGAAGCTGTGGTTATGTTGATCAGAGACTCAGAGTTGGGTTTGCTTTGTATTGCGATCTATTTTCGGAAAGGTGAGGCCAATGGCGGAATAGGTCTCTGAATTCAGCGGTGCTTAGAGGAAAGAAAGTTCGCCCGAGAGCGCCTATGAGTGACTTGAGAAGAAGGAATGACATCGAATGGGTTTAACGATGGGGATTCTATATGGGCACTTCATGAGTAAGTTTTTCCTCATTGTTTCAGAACCCATTCTCAAGAGCAATAACTTACTGTTCGAAGTCGGCTCGTCTTTCTCGCAAAGCTATGAATGGAGGAAGGAAGAGTTGTGACCGTCATCGTGACATAGATTGTAACACGTGATCGTGACTGTGCTTTTCTGGCCCAACCTCGGAGGAAAATTGGTCATTTCCAGACCTCCATCCTTAACATCGCGCAAGTGAAAACGGAAACCATTCACTGCCGTGTGTGGTGTCCAGCAAACAGTAGATCGCACACGGCTGCAGCGCCACATTGTGTCTTTCAGCCTGTTTAACGCTACCTAAATACAGTCCCAACACTAGGATCAAGTACTCTGGTGGCATAAACGAGGGTCCTGCCGTAAATGGGATGTCGGAGTTTAAGTTTCCCTCAGAGTCACCATGACTAGAGGAAGCGTGTTGTCTATTCTATCTCGCACCCATCTCGTCTTCAACCATGTCCCAGCTGCCTATTTTACCAGACACAAACCCCGTATTCGACTCGTTTAGGATATCTATTGCTAAACGTCTCTCCGACACCCTTCCTCTGACTGTTGAACAAGCTTTTGCCGGTGTAGACTATGGAAAGAAAGGGGAGGATTTCACGGTCGCGTTGCCTCGATTTCGACTACCCGGGAAGGTAGCGGAGATTGCAGCAACGGTCATCGAAGGGGTGAGTCGTCTTTTCTTTTCAGCCCCCAATTCCTGCTCCTAAATCAAATTCCGATGCAGTTCCAACCGGACGAATGGATCGAGTCCATCGTTCTTGACAGATCTTTCCTTCACTTCCGAGTCAATACTACGAACATGATTTGCCAAGTTCTTAACCAAGTGAACGCTCTCACCCATCTTACACCCTCTGGACAGCCCGAGTACGGCTCCAACGATTCTGGGAAGGGAAAAAGAGTCATCATCGAGTACTCCTCGCCCAACATCGTCAAAGAATTCCACCTTGGCCACTTACGGAGCACTATCATTGGTGCCTTTCTCGCTAACCTATACAAGGCCTGTGGGTGGGAGGTCATCTCTATGAACTACCTCGGCGACTGGGGAACTCAGGTAAATTTGCCTCCTCATTATCTACTTGGCTTCTTATCGCAGCGATCATCATTTCAGTTTGGCATGGTTGCTACTGGCTACGAGAAATACGGCTCACAAGAAGAGTTCGACCAAGACCCGATCATGCACCTGTACAACGTCTACGTCAAAGTCACCAAAGATCTCGAGACTGACCCAAAGGTAAAAGTCGAGGCCGCGAGGTGGTTCAAGCGAATGGAGGATGGAGACGAGGATGTGCTCAAGAAATGGCACGGCTGGCGAGAGACGAGCTTGGAGAAGTACCAGGAGGCGTACGATCAACTCAACATCAAGTTTGACGTATACACCGGCGAGAGCAACGTCAGCAAGGAGTCGATGGACAAGGCCCTCGTGCAGCTTCAGGACATGGGGCTCATCTCCGACAGAGACTCCGCCAAGGAGGTCGATCTAAACAAGTGGAACCTCAAGGCGCCAATCGTTCGCAAGACAGGTGCGTGATCAGCGCTTCAGTCTCATACCTTAACTGTTGCTAATAGTTACTACCTACCCAGACGGAACTTCTACGTACCTGACGCGTGACATCGGTGGAGCGATTGAGCGCTACGAGCGATATAAATTCGATAAAATGATCTACGTTGTCGGCGCTGCACAAGACTTCCACCTCGCCCAATTCTTCAAAATCGTCGAGCTCATGGGCTTCCCTTGGGCCAAAAACCTCCTGCACATCAACTACGGGATGGTTCAAGGAATGCGCACCCGAAAAGGGACCGCGGTCTTCCTCGACCGGATCATTAAGAAGGCAGGCAACGTTATGCATGAGCAGATGAAGAAGAACGATGAAAAATATGCGGTTATTCAGGATCCGCAGGCGACAAGTTTGGAGATCGGGATTACGGGCATTAAGATTCAAGATATGGCTGCTAAACGGTTCGTTTCAATTCTCCTTTCCTCGCCTTCTCTTTCCGATTTTGTTGTTAACGGTCTTTACGGTTCCTCCAGAATCAACGACTACACCTTCAACTGGGACCGTATGTTGTCCTTTGAAGGTGATACCGGGCCCTACCTCCAATACGCCCACTCCCGACTTGCCTCCATCGGGCGCAAGAACCCACAACTCCTGCCCCTCCCGCCCACATCGCAGATTGCCACGCACGCCCTTGCTCAATACTCAAACGCCCGCGAGATCGCATTCCTTCTGGGCACCTACCCTGATGTTGTCAATGTCGCGCTGAAGACACACGAACCCAGCGGGGTGGTGACGTTTGCGTTCAAGTTAGCGCATGCGATTTCGACGGCGTGGGACAGGGTGATTGTAAAGGGCGAAGAGGATGTGGAGAAGGCAAGGGCGAAGATGTATCTATATGAGTGTGCGAAAGAGGTTTTGGCGGCTGCCATGCGTCTGTTGAGCATCAGGCCTTTAGAGAGGATGTGAACGTAATATGCATTACAAAACGAATATGTTTTCAAGTCGCTCGTATTGGATAGAATGGTTACTTGTTTGTTGTCCTACGCCAATCATCGCTCTTCTGGCCTGTAGCAACATTCATATTTAATATTCAGCACCGAATCTCCACTGGAACGCCGCCACACGCCAATGCCGGGCATTTGTTTTGTCAACTTCAATTGCACCCCTTGCCTCTGGCTGCTGGCCACCCCAGGCGTGACGGTTCGGAGTGACTAGAAGCCTCGAAGGCCCATTATTTGGACGTGTGAAATAGGCCTTCAAGTTGCCTTCAGGGCAAAAAAATAACCGCCAGTCGCCTGCTAAATCCAAATGCGGAAGCGGATCGCGGCAGATCTTATGTATGGTGTAGTCAGTAACTACGGCTCGTTGACACTTGCAGTGTCACCGGAGCTGTCTATACTGCCTGAATGGCTGTACTGTCTGCTAAATACTCATAAAATAAGCTGTAATTGAGACATCTACAAAAACGACAGTTTCTAAGAAAAAGTGCCTAACCCAAAAAATGTTACAGAACCCATTTTCAAGACCAATGACTGATCGAAGTCGGTTCGTCTTTCTCGCAAAGCTATGGATGTCAGAATGAGGTCAAATGGAGGAAGAAAACGTCGTTGTGACGTAAGTACTTTTGAGTCACGTGATCGTGACTGCTTGTCTCATGCTTTGCCCAAACTTTGTCCACCGACCTCCATCTTGCAACATCGCGCAAGTGAAAACGCAAACGATCGCTCTCGTGTGTGGTGTCCAGCAAACAGTAAATCACCACACAAGCGCAGCGCCGCATTGTGCCTTTCAGCCTGTTTAATGTTACCTAAATACCGTCCCAACACTTAGCCGGAGGATCAACCACGGGTGCCTATGTACCTGGTTCTGAACTACCGCGGTTCCTAGAAGCTAAGGTTTCTTTAATCTTAGACATCCATTTAGGATTCTGCACGCAGGAAGTAGGACGAAGCCAAGTTTTAAAATGGGTTTGTACCTGAGATGAAGTCATAGGGGCCGAGCCTCTCATTAGAGGTCGAGGACGTCATTTGAAGGTACATAGGTGAGTTGATTATTTCTAGAGGGTAGGCAGTGTTAAGGAAGTATCCTGATGTGTGTACAGGATTCGTGTAAAACGCCATTGCATTTCTAGGACACAAACAGCGGCGACAAATTGCATGCTGGTGCCATGGGACCAACAACGAAGGGTATCATTGGGTTAAGCATTCTCCAAATTCCGTAGTTTGCTGATCTGATGAGACCCCGAGTCTGCATCCTGGCCGGCAACCTACTGTCAGGTTACCCTCGATCCGCCTATTCCCTTTCGATTGCTTCAAATAGGTATTTTTCTCTTCTTTGAATATTTCCTTGACAGAAGACTTTTCTAGACCTTCGAAATGACATCCAGAATCCAAGAGCTAAGTTTCTTAGGTCAAATGACTTGTGTACCAGTATTTGGCGTACGCACGCGGTCACGTGATATTGGTTGGACAAGGGGATTTGTCCGTCCTTGTTCGTTGTTGCGAGCTTCTCAGTGCGGAACAAGGTTCTTTGTACATCCCCTCCCTCCAGAGCCTCAGAAACATGGTCCGCATATGTCGTTGCTACGGTGACCTTGTTCTATGGACTCGACAGTTTCTTGAAGAACCACCGCACCACAAATCCGTAACTCGTATCGCATCCTAACCTCGGCTTCTGCACGTATGTATCTCATTTGCCTCTCCTCGCCGTTTTGCTTGATAAACTCGTCATAGATTCAGGAAGGAGCTGGTTGTTAGTCATGACTCGACTTTTACAACCACTACATTTCACCGATTCCAGCCTTGACGTGACGTCGCCCTCGAGTGTGTGGAATGCAGGCCGACGCGTCTCGCAATGGTTACTCTGGAGCGACCCTGCGACGACTCAGACTCCCGTTGACGTCTCTAAATCGCTCCGTCAGCACGCAGCCACGCCTTCATCGCACCACCAGCACATGGGTGCGCCGTCCTCGCTTCTCCAAGATACACCTACCCCTTTATTCTTCCGTCACCAGACAGTCGTTTCTTTATCGCTCCTCAATCATGCAGCCACTCATTCTATAAATGAGACGAATCATCACATTCCCTGTATCAACACTCTTCTTCCACCCGAGATACTTGGGGAGATATTCAAACACTATGTGTTTGATGACGATAATCCAGATTGGCTTCCGGCTTCTACTCGCGTTGCTGCACATACAAAAGCTCGCACTACCGCGATAACCCTCTGCCACGTGTGCTCGTCTTGGAACTCTCTTGCTTTCTCTGATTCGTCCCTTTGGTCATCTCTGTGCGTGATGTGGCCCAAAAAGAATACGTGTCATCTTGTGCAGCTTTGGCTTGATCGTTCGAAATCGCAACCGCTATCCCTCTTCCTTGGCGAACACCCTTTTGGCGAAGGAGGTAGTACCCCGGTACGGGAAATCCTTGCATTATTCATCAGTCATGCGCATCGATGGCAAGCCATTACTCTTGGTTTGAACGATGCTGTTCAGGATATGTTTCGTGATGTTCCCCTCGGTGTTATGTCATCCCTTGACCATTTCGGTGTTTCAGTGCGAAATTGGAGCACTGGTTCACTTGAACAGCTCTCGGTTTGCTTACACACCTCTTCTCTCAGAACAATCGCCTGGGAAAACTTTCCCCAAGATTATCTCCCCACTTCTATTTGTTGGAGCCAACTCACGGAAATAACTTTGGGCTGCGTTCGAAATTCAGAAGACCTTTTCGAGGTTCTGACGAAATGTCGGGTCCTCAGGGTTCTCAATATTCCGAATCTTGATTTTACTTCACCTCGCTCGGGTGACGGACACATCATACTACCTGATCTTTATGACCTTCGTCTAGGTTTCGTTGCTGATGTGGCACAAATTCTTGACGGCTTACTCCTGCCACGATTGACGGAGCTCCGTCTTTATAATGGTTTCCGTGGATTGATTTCTGATGGCTGGAACGCCTCTGTTAATCTTCTCCAGCGATCGGGATGCCAGTTAAAAACGTTTACATACAGCCAGTTGGGCTCGGACGAAATGGAGCTCATCCAAGCCCTCGCCTTGCCCGTTTTCTCATATGTCTCCAACATCACTATACGCAGTCCCATCAGCGATGTGACGTTGAATGCGCTCAACAATCGAAATCTGCCATTGCTGCCCCGCTTGGAAGAAGCATTCTTTTACGATTGCCACACTTCAGATGGCGCCATGTCCTCATTTGTTTTGTCTCGGTTGCATACTTCACAAACCATAACTTCAATCCTCAAACGTTTGGAAGCGAATCTCTGTGGTCCTTCATTGTACTCGCATGATCTGCGACTGAAGGAGAGATTACTGGATCAAAAGATTATCATCATGATTGACGCTTCCCCCCGACTCAAATCACATCCTAGTTAAGCTCCCCTTCTTTAATGTCAACATACACTTGATGCATTTGCGACCGAATTGATTGCTCCACCCCTTTCTGAAGTCGACATCGTAGATAGAGCGAGCCTAGCCTCGACCATTTTATCCCCAGTTCGGTTATAGGGGTTTTGGATTCGGAGACGACAGAGAGGATGTGGAGATTCGCAAAATTGACTCGTACAAAAAGTTGATTCACGTCAACACTTGATGATATAGTCAAGGAGTCCAAATGATGCGTAAAAGGAGAGAGACGTTTCCGTGGGGGGATGGAGTACAAGACTGGGTTGAGGCGCGATATTGAGTGGACGGTGAACACCCTGAGTGGCAAACAAGCCATAAGGATAGCATGAAAATCGCCAGTTGATATGCGGCAGTTCGAAAGATGGAGCGTCCCAAGGCCGCGAAAGTAGGGCAGATAAGGAAGCCTCAATTGCTTCGGAAGGTGCTTCAGCTCACCCGCCCAAAAAAATCGAGCTATATGCCTCTCCTTTCTGTCAAAAAACTCTACTAGCGGGAGCGAACAGTTAAAAGGCACGTCAACGTGAATCTCGACAGTCTCGGGATTGTGCTCCATCGCTAGGGTCCAAACCCTCCCCATTGTCTCGTAGGATTCGGTCGTTGGTTGACCACCCTGCAGCTCTATCTTGATCTTCGAATCTATACCACGCTCCGCTGAAGCCCTGACGAGTTCCTTCTCCCAGTCTTTGGAATTCTCCTCGCCACCGATAATGACTTGCAAGGCTTCCGACTCTACAGATGGGCAGATAACTTGGACCTTTGGTTCACGTCGCAGTGAGTGGGATGAAACATATCGAACCAACAAGAGGAGGATGATGATTACGGGGACGATGATCGTGCCCAAGAGCCTGAGGGCGGATAAGGTGGAATCGGGTGCTTCTCTGGAAAGATGCATAATTTGCTGCAATGGAATCGAATATCTCATTTTGCTCGGCGGTTTTGAGAGGCGCGGAGGTGTCGGAGTGAGGGATGGGTGCTCGCAGGAGGCAAACAATGGGCTTTTGTAGGTTTTATGCACCGAAAACAGGGTCCCTATAGTTCTCTCGCTTTGGCCTTGGACAATGCGAAACTGACAATACCGTTCAACCGCCTGCGTTGTCATGGGTTTGCTGATGCCGCATATTTCCATAGGACTGGCAGCCCTTTATTGTTTCGGATGTAGTTCGCCATGACAATTGAGAGTTGATTGAGAGTAAGCATTAGAACAACCAAAATTAATCTTTTCTTACACAGTCGCCTTAGCGGTAAGAAATGAACTTTTTTGTCGTTGACGGCTTGTTCAGTGTTCTGACTGTTCAGAGATTCGGGGACGCACCATAAAATTAGCGATATGTGGTGTAAGATAGCAAGTCTTTCTGAAAGTGGTGGAGTGAAGCAGCGAAAATAAACAATTTTTTTTGCCTGCTAACTTCTCTTTCCTAAGCTACCATGAACGTCCGACATCGTGTCAACGAACTGCGCTCATACAACGAGTCAGGTGAAGACCTCTTCCTGAAAGACGACGAGCGCGACGGGCAACTACAGCCGACCGCTGCGGACGAATCCGACACCGAAGACGCTGACACGTCCAACATTTCTCCTGCCTCCCGATGGCGGAGGCTTGCATTCATCTTCCTATGCGCTCTGGTCGTTCTTTTCGCATTTCTGATACGCGGTAGCTCCAAGAAAAAGCCTGAGACGTTGTACGCATCCAGGTACGTTTCCAGGTCTGACAGCTTTGCGGTGCCATCCAATCACGACCCCATAGGTATTCGAGGGAATTCAAATTTCGCCCCGCTGCAAGCCCAATCATCACCGAAACACTCAAAGATGGTCGAATGCGACTGCGAGGGGCCACGCCTCCGCCCAAGACTCTTGAAGCGAAAATCACGCCCACAACGAAAGCGAGGAGGAAGAAGAAGACGGGCACTAGGAAGCCGAAGCGAAAAACAAATTAGGATTGGCGGGCGTTGGATGTTGTCAGGCAAGCTGTACTTGATCGATGTCTACGCCTTCTGCTGACAGGTAATTGGTGAAGGGGTCTACATGGTTCATACCATCTGTGTCGAAGGTAGACGTTGATGTGATCAATAGAACATCCCCACATTATTCCCCCACTCTTTCGGTCACAGGTGGTAACAGCCGACTGACGCGTCTTCCTCTCCCTCTGTCGGAGACATCCTCGTTGAGGTTGTCATCGCCACAGTACTTACATTGGTGAGAGGGGCGTGAAGTACTGCTACCAAACGGAGCGCACTCTCCCCGATCTGTTTAATATGCATGGGTTTTGTGCTTCCGTGCATTTCTCATCCCTGGCTGGGATGATCGCTACCTCTAGGTTTTCGAAGAGTCTTGCCGTTGTTCCGGCATGGATTAGGACCCGATCTTCTTCGGCGATTGCAAGGTTTACAAAGCCCACGTTCATATGGAGAGCAGGTGTTTGATATCTCCAGATTGTTTTTGAAGTATTGGATGATCGTCATAGGCAACGATATGAAAATTGGTTCACAGGGGAGAGTGTTTCAAATTCATACAGCCGCGATAACCCATAGCCCATACCTTTGAAGGAAAAACGCATACTCAGATACCCCTTAACCTGGAGAGTCCACCAAGGGGTCTGGGTTATGAGGGAGTCGACGTAATTTTAAAAGTTCTTAGGGAGATCCCCTAGGACGATCCTGAGTTGTGGATTGGATACACGAACCCTCCGAAGCCTCGCCAGCATTGCGAGTTATGGAGGAACTCGACCATGATCATTGTTGGTTGCCTTATACCTCAAAAGAAGCCACGAGATGAATATAACTCGAGGGATGATCTTCTCAGACCACTTGCTGATCATGAGCAACAGGCGCCTTTCATATTTTATTTCCGCACGGTCTCCCTTAGAATGATTACACACACGTCTACCTAGGACCGTCTAGTGATAAGGATGCCACTCAAATAATAGATTCGTCTATTCCTTCGACCAGCGACAATTAGCGATGACGATATTCATTAGTGGATTTAACTCTTCAGCCTTGGTATGCAAAAGATACTGCCCCGTATAAACCGGACTCACGCCCGAGCATTCCATGGCCATGGAGAACCTTGCCAAACGATAAGTCTTCCTGACGCAAAACATTTGAAAATGTACACACCTCCATTTTTCGAGCATGCCATCCAATGCCACTGCAGACATTCCCATTCGCGTCGGAAAGCCTTTCCATTTCCATATGGAAAGCGTCGCCTTTCGGAAGACCTCTCTTTAGTACACGACCTTGACCCGGACGTGGATCGGAGACCCATCTAGCCGCAGTATCAACGTACCATCCCCTACCTCCGTTGCTCCGGATAACCCGCCATGTCCCCGCCCCGGCACCAAGACCACGGAGTGTAGCCCCTGAAAGTTCGACGACTCGTAATCTTGTGGGCGGCTGTGGCGGCACCGAGAGGGTGGTCGTCAGGCTGGAAGCAAACTGTGGTGCGCATAAGGGCCTGATGAGGTGGGTGTGTAGAGCAATCGAAGAGACTCTCGATAGTTCTTTGGCTCCTGGGTTAGCCAGGTCCAGCTGGGGTGAAGTATTGATCAAGGTCAAGACTTCGACGTTGGACGCCTTGTTCAAAAGAAAATCAGCAACGACGTTTAGCTCGAGCTTCGGGATATGTGAGAGCCCAAGGGAACACAGCTTAGGCTGGGGCTTGCAAAGAGAGAGAAGGCTTTCGTTTATAGGGGCGCTCGACAGGTCTAGATACACCAGTTGCCCTCCAAGCAAGCAAGGCGCTTGAGTGAGAATATCTTGCAGATGTTCCACAGTGAGCGGCGAAACATATGTCATGTCACCGTAAAGATTGAGCTCCGTGAGCTCGGTGGTCACCGGAAAGTCCACTAGGAAGTGTCTTATGCTTTCGCTGGTGAGTTTGGTGCATCGAGCAAGGCCAAGTGATTTTAAACGCAGAGGGCGAGTACCAAGCGCTTCAAGAATGTCTGGAGTTACGCGTGTGCCTGAGAGGTCGAGGTGGGTAAGAGAAGGTAGAGCCATGAGGAATGGTTTTAGATAGCGAGGTAAAATTGATTTGACGCCCCGGAGACCCAGTCGTTCAAGCCCGGGGAAGATTAGAGGCTCGATTTTCTTCTCTTCTACTTCTTCGCCTTTTGACTGTGTCAGAAGGTGAGCGCTCACGAAAGCGTTGAACGCGTTGACAAAGACAGCGCTAACGCAACCAGTAAAATCCACCGCCTCCAGATCTTTGCATTCCCTTCTTCGTTCTTGGTCCTCCTCTTCCGCATCGTTGCTAAATCCATTCATGTAAAATGGATGGTGAAGGGCGCGAGAGGCTGCACCGCGAAGGAACAGCTCGTTCAGTACTGGTAGGGTCAATGCCCCATCCATATACTCAGTAGCGCCAAACGAGGTCAGGTTGGGCATTTCCTGATATAATAATCAGCATCACCGTGTCTAATTTCTAGCATCACGAGCCTCACTTTCACCACTGCTTGAAGGCGATCACCCGTTACGAAAGGATTATTAATACCCTCTTCCACCGATCGACGCACTCCAATGGTCCGAAAATGATTGAAATCGAGATGTTGAACATAGCGTCCCGGACGTGGGTCGATGGGCATAGGCACTTTTTGAAAGACATCATTAGCGAAGAGACCCAGTTAGGAGTGTGGACACACTCACCATACATTCCACGAGATGACTGACGATCCACGGCGTCTTGAACAGCATCTTTGATGGAACGCAAAAGTTTCCATCGAGCCGGACTTTTGCTTTTTGGCCTTAAACGCCTGGGGCTAGTATCTCGAGATGGCGCAGACGAAAGTAAATTCAGAGAGATGGTGGTGTCGGGGCCCTCAAACGAGTCAAAAAGATTCTCGTCGAAGCCAACAACGGCCACCTTATCACACTCGGAGGAGGTGGAAGCCACGGCTGCATTTGCTGCGGCCCTGATCGTCTTGTCTATGACCAGATCCACGGTTTCTTCATCATAATTCCATGCTATTTCTGCTACAAGTGAGAGCCATGTTCGCGGAAATCGAACTTCCAGCCTACAAGAGAAGGCGTTTAGAGAAATTTAGGACAGCGGTTGGGGTACACACCTACGCCAAAGCCATGGCTTTGCGGCTTCGTACCAATCATGATTTACGAGGCAGAGGTTTGCCAGGGTGCGTCGTGTAATTGGCTCGGACCATGTTAGAGCAGGAGTAAACGATGAGTGTGAGGCAGAGGTATCGGATAGTAGGGGGTCCAGAGACGGGATGGTTGTGGGGAGGCAAGAGGCAAAGACTTGTGTGCAAATGGCGTAGAGGAGCTCAGATGGGTACAGCGTGATCAAAGAAGGCGACATCAAAGAAAACTTTTAGTCGTTGGAAGAACCGGACGTGCTCCAGCATTTTATACTTGTCCTGCGACCCCATGAGTGCGGAGAAACCCCAGACCTCAGAAAGCAACGAAGTGGCATATGATATGCGGATAATTTGGAAGCGCAGGTGGTTTCTGACATAAAATCCCCAAAGTGTTTGGGGTCAAATGTTCGGCGATCAGCGGTCAAGAATTCTAAAAGAACTCCGCTTACCTGTTCGAATTTTGACTAAGTCCGGTTACACTTACTCTGATGCGTTCTATTGTCCTCCAATTACTTCACTGCGAGTCCTCTACGAAATGAGGAACTTCTACTGTAAATGAAGGGAACGGACAGCTACATATATATGTTACAATTTTTAGAATTCATCGTGCCGTGGCTTGTTTCAAGTCATAAAATCATTTGACGCACCTGTCCTTTGCCTCTTCCTTTCCCCGAAGATATACAGATAGTATTTGGATACTATATGACACCAAAAGCTTTGAATTAAACGCCATAAGACGTCGGTCTTTTCTCGGCCCGCACAAGGAATAAATTACTGTTTGAAGACCCAAAAAATTACCCCCTCGAGCTATTCTGAATTGTTTTCGACGTATCTTGGGCAGAACCTGTGACCTTAACATCAGCTTGGCTACAGACCGTTTTTCTCCAAACGCTCATACCCTCGGTGAAATAGATAAGTGGAACACGAACCCCCGCACTGGTCCTTAGGCCTTATCTCTCAAGTCCGATAACTTTGATACCTTCGGTATGTTGCGCCATTCACTGACAACGGCTGATTTTTTGCCCCATTCCTAATAGGTTCTATCAATGCATATTCACGATTTTATGTCGGTTGCCTCTGTCGCGTATCTGCGCAGCTGAAACCAGTACTAAGCCGCACCACGAGCGAATGGTGTCGATCGGAATGATGCGAATCAAAAACATCCAGAGAAGTGTTCATCCGAGGATCGCACGTCTTGCCATTCTAATTTGAAAGCCGCTTGACTACGTCCGGTTATCCAAACATGATGAATTTTTGCAGAGATGCTTCCGTGCTCTTCCGCGTCAGATTCAAAGGTGTTAGCCACAAAATCTAATCTCCACCGGGAGGAAGGGATTGGCTAGGGAGACACGGCGCAGCGCCTCAAACATGGGCCGAACGAAGCACGTGCTTGCAATTGGTTCCATAATTCAAATTGTGACAGGATGGACAGCAGCCTGAGTGCGCAGGGAGCAGCGAAGATTCCGTTGTAAATAAATTCTATTGAACCTCGGGCTTCGGTGACGATAAAGCCTGGAAAGCGCATAACCCGATCGCTCACCTTTCTGTCTATCCTCAATTCAAGGTCAAATACTGAGGTGGGGAATTACTCATTTGTAATGGAAAAACGTCTCAAAATCCGGGTGCGGTGTTTAGTGGTTCTCTTTCAGGATACGGGAATTTCAATCACATCAGGATCAAGTGTTACTTCCCCGCGCGCGTGAACGTGTGTGCCACTATGTGGAGCCGCCGAAAGATAAGCTTATCCATTAGGGAGCCTTATCTTGAGCCACCCTCATTCGATAACAACACAATCGATTTAACGCCTTGAGCGAATGAGGGAGTACTCGGAAGCGTTCTGGAGAGGCGGTAATTTCAAAAGAAAGACAACGCGATGGATGTCCGTGAGAGAGAGGCATCATCATGTAGCCGTTTGTGTTGTCTCCTGCTTCGACGGAAAATGCCAAGAACTTGACGCGTGGCAATTATGTAATGATGACCACTAATTTCTCATCAAGAAATCATTCTGTCACACTGGTCACCAGTCACCCCCCTCAGCTTCTTCAACTCGCTCAAAGTTGGTGTTGTAGCCTGTAATTCTTCTTTTCTTCTGTTTTTTTTTCTTCAAATTGAAGCCGATCTTTTCCTGTAGGTTTATCCGCCTTGCATTCCCTGGGCTCGCTGTGTGCATCAGCCTAGTATTTTTGGGGAACAGGGGTCACACCTGCGCCTTGGTGCGTCGTGAGTTGGTACAAACTCGCTAGCGAGTCGTTTATGTCGGTGCTCTAACCTAAAACATTGCGAAGTGCCTTTCCTCACATTCTAAGTTCACATAGGCTTTCAAACAATCGTTCACCTTGAACATCGACCATCTGGACAACCTTCCCTCCCCCTCTGTTTGACGAGGCACCCCTGAAGCTTATATTCTCCCCCGTCCTGTAACGCTAAGAGTCGCCGCGTGTCACCCTCGGTGGTCTCACTCGGTATTTCGATCGTTCTCAGCATGTCAAAATACCTCTTTTCTTCTCTCAAAGTGAACCCCATGTGCAGAATCTTACTCTCGGTTTACTTGCTTCCAAGTTACACCAACCCTTCCGGTTGAACCGTCCGCGTCACCAGTGATGGTTATCACTTGCCCAAATATCTGGCTTGTGCAACTTTAGTGAACAGGGGTACTCCTATGGGGCAGTTCGCGCAAGTTGCGAATTGAGCTGGAGTCGTCAATGAGTGATGGCTCACCTCACGGGCAGATCCCCTTTCCTCACATCATATCTTCACTTGGACTATCTAGCGGTCATTCATGAACGCTGAAAGTTGAACGTTTCAACAACCGTCTCCATTTGATGGAGCTCATTCGGGTCTTGATATGTATACTAAAGCCATGTTTGCTCCAATACGTTCAGGATTGCCTCCCTCCATCGACCCTACAACCCCTGTCACCCGAACGCTTCTCATTCAGCCAGTGCGATGGATTTCTCGCCGTAAATGCTGACCTTGGCGCCACCCACGGACATACCCTCCTTATGTTAGGGAGCCACATCTCTTCGGACATCAATCATACTATTTCACTGCATCCGCCCTCATCATCCCTCTCAGAGTTGAGACAGGCTGGCTGTTTTGGAGCCTTGTTGTCCGCGAGCAATTCGGGCATGAGCGAGTCGTCACGCGTCGCAGTTTCCCTGGAACAACCATTCTCAATCAGTTTTCGGATACTACCGTTCATTTTGTTCGGGCCGTTGAATGAATGGGAGACTGAGGGTACTTGTTGCGTCTACTGCCCGATTCTCGGATTCTGACCTCCAGGAACTCTCTTCAAAATCTCCGTTAGTTGTACAAGAGGCATTCAAGTTGACGCGGCTTGCGGTCGTGGCGCTCCCCTTTCAAATCCGAATTTTCCTACTTTGGATACCACGACATCCGGTTTTCGGATATATTTCGTTCTTCCTTTTAACATATCAGCGCCCCTCTCTCCGACTTTGGGGCCTCCACAACGGCATTTCTGTTGCGTTCAACCACCGGTCGCCTCCTTCTATACGTGTCATGCCCGCAGAAGCATGCCACATTGTTTCTTCGCGTCCAAAATCGTACTTTGAAGTCGGGCCTCGTTCACATCCCGCTAAAGTCCCACTCTCGTCTCCGCCGTTTTCCCCAAAGCGGACCGCGACCTGTTTGTCGTAGCCTTTTCACTCTGGCCGGTACAGAGACAAACACTTAGGTACATGGATAGCAACACCTACTCCCGTCTTTGACCCGTTCACTGAAACCCTTTTTGTCAAGCTTTGTGAACGTTGTTTTCATCTGTTGAGTTTGATATTAGCCTAACAACTAGTCTCGCCGCGAAGAAGTTGCCAAAAAACTTTCATGTTAGTTCAAAAGGCAGAATAGCATGACGATTTCCCGTTGGCCTTTCGTCCCCACCAACCTCCTCAAGATTGGTCTCACCCTCATGCTTAAGCTCAAGCCCCTTGGCAACTTCGTCCACACTCTCCCACCGGACCAACACGAGTTCGATAAAAATAGTACCATCATTCAAACTGGGGGCAGTTATATCATGATTCCATCATACCTGGCTATGAATAGGTCATTTGTCCTCGACGAAAATAGATCCACACGGGTCTTGTGATCGATAAGAAACCAGACAAATGCTGTCAAACGGAACGATGCTCTCAATTGGGTTTCTTCTCTACGCCCTCTAATCTTCTTCCTAGTCAAACGAAAGACGGCCTGCAAGTTGACGAGGGTCCCTTCCAACCATTCGCTGACTGTGTGGGTGTTGTTGGGGTGTTGCACTCGGTGACGATTTCCCTTTTTTCATTTTTCCTTCACTCTTACTTCAGTCATTTTTTTTGGACAGCAGGGATAGTAGTTCTGCTTCCCGCTGCGTGTATCTGAAACGGTACCGCTTTGCTGAGACATACCACTCCGCTTTACTTGAACAAGTTTCTAAAATTTCAAGTGCGGTCTCACGGACGTGGATGAAGACAGGGTTTCAGAACACCACGTGCGTAGATTCGATGAATAACAACCAGACTAAGTAATGACGATTGAATTACAGAAATATATCTTTCCGTTCTGCATCATCAGGTTCGAACGGGATTAGAAGGGAATCAAGTTCAAGTGGCGCCATACTTGCCCAGTCACTATCTTTCCCCGCAACCGTGACCTCAATCGCCAGCACCTCAACACCACTTTCTCATCCAGGATCTCACGTAGCGTTGGTCTCCGGAGCGCTGGCAATATTCATACTCGTCGTTACTATCATTTCTATCTTCATCCTCCTCAGACGCCAGAAAATCCAAAGAATGAGAGGTCCATCACCGCCACCCTTTTTGAATGGTCCATATACTCGAACCCGACGTGGTATACCTCTCATAATTATAGTGTGAACAATACGTTGACTGTGGCGAATACATCATCAGGTACAAAGCGCTGCAAACGCCCGCCGCCTCTCTCCGGCATCTCGAGAAGCCTGAAGCCCCGGCGTTCGACTGAATCAGTTGAGCTATCAGACTTAACCCCACTCTCCACATCATCGAGGAAGTCATCTATACTCCATGGATTCATCTCAGATCCTAGTAGCGTGTACCAAACCAATACACCCGACTCACGTCAGTTTCGTTTAAGCGACGACGGCGGTGGGATTAGGGTTTTAAACGCGAGTCGGTACGGCTCAAGAGCTGAGTCAGAGACACTACGTCCTCAGATCCCTCCCATCCTATCTCATCCTCAGTCAACGTTACCCTCTCTGTCGTCGCCTTCATCTTCGTTTTCTCCAGATCATTCTCTTCGCACATGTACAACGCCATCGTCGATGTCAGTGTCCAGGAGTTTTACTCGTCTCGACGGTGGGCCTCTTCGGTGGAAAGACACAGAATCATCGACCGACGTCAACGCGGGGCGCACTATTATAGAGGGGCCTCCGCCTGCATACGAATACGGCAGACGAAGATAGCGCAGACCTTGATTCTACATGCTGGACTCCTTTCTTAGCTGGTGTAGAAGGTGGTTCGGGCCGCCGGCTAGGGTCCATCTCATCTCGCTCTGGCAGGAGGAGCTATTTATAACCTCCAGTCGCCTCCACGTCGTCGATATATAATAATATATGTCTCCCAACCGTGGATGAACATTATGCAAGGCTACGCTACCAAAGGAACTTCAGTAGCCGAACGAGTAAGCATTGCGCAAAAAAAAGGGGAGGAACAAGTCCAGGAAGAATGTATGTTAGGATAGTTCTTAGAGTCTAGGCATATCGTGTAGTTAAAAGAATCGTTAAGTAGTCCGTAATAAAGAGTCTGTCATTGTCTGGTAATAGAAGCGTCTAAGCGGTGTTGGAGACAACGAAGTACTATTCAACCTGATGAGCGGCGTGATAGAGCATTCACTGCAGAAGAAGCTTACAACGGCGTAGGAGTTGGGATACTGCTGAGTGAATTTTCCGGGATCAGCAGTAATCTGAATGTATCCAGAACCGTTGGGGTTGTAGAAGAGATAAGTGGGAGGTTTGCCTATAATAAAAAATGTCAACGACCAGGGCCAAAAAAAAAAACAGGGCACATCTCACTGCTATCAACGTTGACCCATTGCGCTATGGCTCACGGTAAGAAAGGAATCTACATCAGGTAACGTGGAGAACCCGTGCTTACCTGCAATATGGTTTGAAGCGAATTGCCAAACCGCAGATTCCATGTTGTTACTAGGAGGAGAATTCGCTGGTGCTACAACAGAATCATCCAAGTTGGGGAAGACGAAATAAGGTTTGGAGGGACGTACTGTTCTTGACTGGCGCCAGAATCGCGGAAGAACTGGAAAGGAGAGCGGTCTGAATGGAGTATCAAATGGAGTCTACATGGACTAACCTTGTGCCCGTATTGATGTTAGTTCCAGTGAATCCAAGGTACGAGTTTGGCGCAGGAGCACCCTGTCAATCAGTCTTTTTGAGGGAGAACGCAAGGGATGGTCAGGATGAAGCATACATCAATGGAGATACTGATTGGCGATGACGAATCGCAGGCTGAGAATGAAATCTTGATCGCACTTCCTTGTCCGCTCGTGAGGCCGTATCTAGGGAGGCACTTTAGTCAGACGTTTCGTCGGACAGATATGCAGGCCTCACCCGCCCTCGGTTGGGGTCTTCTTGATGTAACCAAGGAAGACACCATTGCTAGATCGGTACACCTTGATGTAATCGCTAGTATAGCTGGTGCAACTTTTGAGTGGACGTTAGTTTTGAGATAAAAATGATTTTGGAGGACAACGGACGGATTCCCAGAAGGTTGTGCTCGTTTGGCTATATGGATGTTGTTGGGCCCTTTTCACTTGAGGAAGGTAGACTATGACAGACCTGCAACGCGTGTAGGGTCAGCCCGCCGAGGGGGTAGAGGACCAAGCCCAGCTGCCATACGAGCAGCATTAGTTCTCAGAGAGAGGTCATTCCCTTGGATGAGCGCCTCGCGCCGGTACCGAAGACGCACGGCCGAGGAGAGGTAGACTAGAGAAAGAATAAAAACGAACAGGACGTTTCGGAGTTGGAGCATTTTGGGTGAGGGGGAGAGGGGACAAGAGGGCAGGGATGAGAACGGGGGGGAGGGTGAACACGAATTTCTAAACTCTACATCCCCTAAGTACCCTTGCCGCTGTTCTTGGCGTTGCCGAAGTAATTGCAAATGTATAAAAAAAGATTAAATCTTACCAAATTGGTAGGCCGCCGATGATAGCCGACCATCTGGGAGGTGAATTTCAAATCGTGGAGTACTTACAACGTTCCAGGCACTAATGCTGAGGGTTTGACTAGAGCAGATTATACGCGTTAGGAACCTGGACTATGAAGAGAACTCAGTGGAGGTCCCAAAAATGATAAAACGGTACGTGCCCACACCATTCAGCTCGAGAGCGGGAAACTTGGAAGGGAGTCGGCATAGGCCTTGAAGCAGAGGTCGTGCCTTACAACGAGTCAGGTATTAGGAGCTGCGATTAGCGTGGACAGACCGAGGACAGACTATTCGATTCTGTGAGTAGTGTTGAAGAATTTGAGATTTCTTGACGTTTTTGTGGGGCACAATAGAGGAGTTCAGCTGGTGGCCAGATATCATAATGAATTTGTACATGGTGAGGGGAGAGGGTGGTGGCCAAAATGAGGTAGAATCTGAGGGCCAAAAACAAGGGTTGAACGTTGAGGGATGGTCAATGCCTGATGAGGATTTCGAAATTGACACACCCAAAACAACATGCTTTCCATTGAGATTTGCAGACAGCCCGGAGACATTCTACGTAGTCTTGAGGGTACCTAGTTTATAAAAAGTGGGGAAGGGAATTCCATGGGTTTCTCAACCTAGGAAACCCGAAAAAACCATCAAAAACCAATAAAAAAGCAGGAGACATTGGAACTTAGAAGCCTGAAAAGCTTGCCAGCGGATCCAACCCGCATAATGACGTAAGATTGGTCTCCATACAGTCATCCACCTGCTAATGATACACCCAAAATGAGAAATTACCTTCGAGCACAATCTGTCTCTACAGAAACTACATGAAAATCTTAGATAAATGCCCTTCTATGACCATACCAAATTTCAGAATGTTTGACCCACATTTCATAGAGAAAAACCAAGATTATAGGTGTATCATTGAAGGGTGTGCCTGTATTTGGCTATTTCCGAAAAACAGTCCATTTTGTATGCTCCATACCTTTGCCAATTCTGCCTCAATTGCATCCAAATTATGTACAGTGGTAGATATGAGTTTGTACTACCTGTTACAATTTGTTTCGTAAAATTCGGTCTAGTATTGAGCGAAATATTTGCTAGTCAAAAGTGTATCAAATGGGGGTGGTGTATCATTGAGGGGTGGATGACTGTATATCACGTGGCAATTGACATTTTTCTGACGTCACGTTCTCACTCTGAACATCAATTGTCATGTCACTTCATGCCCATAAGCCCAACATCGTCCCCGCCATCCGTCTCGCCATACGTGGCGAGCAGCTCCTAACGTCGCCGCGCTTCAACAAAGGGACCGGGTTTCCTACGAACGAGCGTAAGGCCTTTGGTCTCTCGTCTCGCATCCCTTACCGCGTCAACACCATCGACGAGCAATGCGAGCGCGCGTATGGACAGCTGCGAGCCCGAGACACGCCAATTCGCAAGAATACGTTCTTGCAAAGTTTGAAGGACCAGAACTGGACGCTGTATTACGCATTGTTGTCCAGGCATTTGAAGGAACTGGTGCCCATCATTTATACGCCAACACAGGTGACGCGTCATTACATAAATCTGTTGACTCTATTCAAGAGCTTTCAGGGAGACGCTATTGCCAGTTACTCACACTTGTTTAGGCGCAGCGAAGGCTTGTACTTGACGTTTCCTGAACAAGATTCGATGGAACAAGATTTTCTGGAACAAACACAAGGGCGGGAGATTGACCTGTTCGTGTGTACTGATTCCGAAGCAATCCTTGGAATCGGTGACCAAGGCGTCGGAGTGAGTTTTTTTTTCTTATACCTTGCTTCGAAGCTGACACAAATCTAGGGAATTGGGGTATGTTCTTCATTAGACTAGAATGGTACCCTACCGACAAAGCGTCTCCTAGATTTCGACAGCAAAATCAACAATGTATACGTGCGTTACCACTTTTCAAATAATTCACAACTGGCCGACACTATTGAAGGCTTGTTGGAGGGTTGGATCCGTCTCGGTCAGTTAGCGTGGTTCTCGACGTGGGAACAAATAACGAAGATCTTCTCAATGACCCTTTATACGTGGTAAGTTTTGTGATAATACTACCTCGCATCTCTCAGGGTACCCAGGGATGGCCATTCAGTCGTGTCCGCGGAGAAGAGTACGATAATTTTGTGGACAAGTATGTTTTCCACAGTCATGCTGCCAGTGTTAGTGCAGCGTCATCGATATTTGTTGCAGATTTGTCCAGCTCGTTCGAAAATACTACCCCCATAGTCTTCTCCACTTCGAAGACTTTGGAGTGACCAACGCTCATCGCATCTTAGACCGATATCGCGATACACACGCCGCCTTCAATGACGATATGTATGTTTCTCGCATCCCAAACCACTCTATTGTCTTTAAAACGATATTCAGCCAGGGAACTGGCGCTGTAACTCTCGCATGCATCATGGCTGCCATCGGGGTCTCCAGCCGCTCGTCAGTTAAAGGACAGGGGAAACGCCTGTCTGACCAGAGATACATTATTTTAGGTGCCGGTTCGGCCGGCATGGGTATCGCGGTGCAGATCCGTGACGCAATGATCACTGCGGATGGTGTCTCTAAAGATGCTGCAAACCTGCGGTTTTGGATGGTAGATCGAGAGGGGCTGTTGTACCACCCCAGCTTCGAGGTGTCGGCGGAGATCGATTTACCCCACCAGAAGGAGTTTTATAGACCCGCCTCAGAAAAGTGGGACGAGATCATCAGGGTTGGAGCGGACGACGCATCGACGTGGGAGGGGGCGGCTCCGAAGAAGATAAGGAGGAGAGTTGAGTTATTGGATACGGTGAAGGAAGTAAAACCGACGGTTTTGATTGGGTGTTCGACTGCTTCGGGGGCGTTCACGGAGGAAGTGGTCAAAGCCATGGCGGAGGCGCTGCAGCAGGAAGATCCAGGAACTAAGCCCATCATAATGCCTCTCTCGAATCCGGGCAAGTTAGTAGAGGCGAAGCCGGAGGACGTCCTTCGTTGGACGGGGGGCAGGGCATTAGTGGTGACGGGGAGTCCATTTGGGAATGTGAATATGGATACCTAGTTAAGCGCCTTGTAGCATCGCGGAATGCAACAACGCACTCATCTAACTCGGTCTAGGCTTGAGAGGATTTTACATGTCGTGGGTAGAAGACAAGAAGTAGTTTGCATGTGTTTCTTCTGACCCCAATATCAGGGAAGTTGGCTGTATGGGAGTCGCCGTCTGGTACCAAGCTATCGGAAAAAAGATGAACAAGGCGAAAGTTCAACTTTTTTGCAATGTCCGATCATAGTTTCGCCTCCCCGCAGGGAGCTTGTTTCAATAAAAAATGTCTGGCTATTGCAATTTTCATGCAACGGCCAGACGTGGTTCAGTGTTCCGTATTTTACTGACTACCGACGTGAACATGTACTATTTACTCCATGACAAAAAAAGGAAAGGCCTAGACAAAGACAATCGAAGGTCAGTTTTGGACAGATAGCATAAAGTCACGTCTAGGCAAGGGGAATGACATCAGGGAACATTGTAAATAAGAAAAAGTACATGAAAAACTCACAGATTACATTGAAGCTTCCCACAGTGAAAAGGCGCGTTCACGCGCCCAAAGCATCTATCCAGATGCCCATTGTTTGTGATGATGACAGCATTACATGCTGCCTTGTAGTCATTCTGCACAAAAGCGAAGTTAAAATGAGTCAAAGAATAAAGGAAAGAGAAAGCTCTATACAGGGAAGATGATGGCACTGTGAGAGCAATTGCCGGAGGTTTAAAAATCGAATATGCGCCGCGCCACAAAGCCACGTGCAGAAAACAGAAGGGGGTGACCGGGCGCATGTACGAGAGGGAAAGAATGAAGGCAATTGATTGGGTGTATGGGGTAGGGATGTGTATGTGTCGAGGGGCATGAGGGTAATCACTGGAACTCGAAAAATCGAGTTTGAACCATGCGGTGGAAGCGACACAAACAAAATGATAAGCTGGAAGACAATGGCAGTGTGAGAGTGGTGGGGGGATGTTTAAAAATCGAATATGTGCTGCACAACACAGCTGCGGTGACGAAAAATCGAACAATGACAGAAATCGAGCAGTGTGAGGGTGATCGCCGGAAGTCGAAAAATCAAGTTTTGAACCATGGGGTTGGAGTGACGCGAAGAAAAGGACAAGCAACACTACGTGCTGCCACGTAGCCATGGCTGGACTGGGAAAAATCAAAAATCATCCTAAGGGTGAATCTTAAAGGTGATATGAGAAAAGAAGAACAAAGAATGGGCGTAGGAACAAGCTTACAATGTTTAGGAAGGTAGGTAGCAGGAGGGCGATTGCCGGAACGCAAAAAATCGAAGTTGAGCCATGGGGTGGAGTGACAAAGAAAACGACAGGCAGCACCATGTGCTGCCACGTAGCGATGGCCAAGTGCATGGGTAGGGATGTATAGAAAGCTAGCGGCATGAGGGCGATCGCCGGAACTCGAGTTTGAACTGTGGGGTGGAGGGATGCAAAGGAGACAACTGTCAACAAGCAGCAGTATGTGCTGCCACGTAGCGATGACCCAGAACGAAGTGAATCGATGGGGTGCATGGATAGGAATGTGTAGAAATCCAGTGGCACAAAGTGCAGGAACTCGAAAAATTGAAGTTGTACAGCAAGGGGATGTGTTGATTGCCGGACATTGAAATATCGAATTAGAATGGTGAGCAGAAAACACAGCAGCAGAACTACATTTTGCGGAAAGTGATACATTGCGTAGGGCCAATTCAGAGGTAAGGTTGGAGGAACAGGTGGCATGCTGTGTGATAGCGATCCACGGATGTCAAAAAATCCAATTATGTTGCTCGCTTCAAAAAAAAATCAAAGAAATGTTGAGAAAAGCCTTCAACAAAATAAATGGGGGGTTCAGGACAGTAAGAACACACATAAAACTTACCTGAGAAGACTTCCTCGTGACAGCAATCCCCGGAACGCCAAAAATCGAATTGGAATTGCAGACAGCCAGCCCCATCACCAAAGTTCATCGCTTCAAGTGCTATGGGTGCATTACATTCCTATGAGACTTCATTACTGATGGAAGCGAAGGATCACAGAACCTATCGATTTGCATGGCTTAGGCATCCATCATGGCGGAGACGATGAGCGCAGAGGGAAGCAAAGCTGTTTAGCCCAAAACGGAATTGTTAGTCAACGTGGAGAAGAACAAACAAAGTTTTGCTAACCAAGGTAGGATATGTGAACGTCGTCCACAACAACAACCTCTGACTGGATGGTGATGATGAGTGAAGGAGTAACAACAAATGGCCAAGCAACTTACCTGACAATGCAGATGAGAGCCGGGCAGCGTAGAGGCATAATGGAGGCAAGGGGAAGCGTGGGCATCCACATATTCCCGAATCTACTTATACCTCTGGGTGCCAAGGAAAATCAACAAAGTTTTGTGTGAGTAAGTATTTTGGTGTGGCACTTGGCCGGAAGTATCCAGCCGACAAACAATGCGCGGGGACCTTGCAATCTTCGCTTGCCAACATTCCAGGAATACTTTGATCGGGAGAATATTCTAGGAACACGCACGTCGAATCAAGAATCCGGAGCTATCAAACTTTCTGCGTTCAATTTTTTTGCAGCTCAGCTTTTCCCCCCATTCCTCCCTCACCACTCAAATTCTTGCCCTCACTAACTCTGCCCATCTTCAAATTTTCTGGGATATAAATTTCCGTGTGGTAAGTAAATCCCATTATTCTGCAGGACACAAAATCATGTCATGCACCTTGTTTTTAGATGGCGTACGTCTTGCAAACACCTCTCAACTCAATGAATGTGATTGGGAGAGTGTGAAACTTCCTAGGAGATAAGTCCTCAGCTGTCGCCACCTGGTGTGTACATTTGAGACTGTTCTTGCCCGTCTTAAACTCTTGACATCCAGAAATTTAGCGCATGCAGACGGGGACGCTTGTACGAGTGGAAACCTGAGGATACCACATGACCGTGTCTGCAGTCTCCTCGTCATTCATGATTGTGCGCACTTATAGTGTTTTTAGAACAGCCTCATACAACCAGCCATTCATGTTGCAGTGTTAGTCTGATATATTATCCGACTACACATGTCTTGAAGTCTGGACGTTTTGCGTAGCGCAAAATTGGAGCGGAAATGTGCACTCCAAACACGCCTTTTCTCACATTCTGTTCCACTACCTTCCCTTTAAACTACTTGTGTACCCTTTTGTTTTACATAGTCATTTGCAATATAAATTACTTGACAGTCTAGGAGGACGGTCGTGCAAATGGCTCTGAAAAGGATTGAAAGAGAATAGACATGGCTTCCTCCTTTCCCGATTCTTCATCGCGCTTGGAACGCATCCGTAAAATAAACCTTTCTATGTATCAGGTTCTTTTTCGGAACCGTGTAAACCCTGTACTTGAATTTCCCGCACTTTCGCCAGCGGAAGGTGTAAACTGGGCGCGCTGTGCCCATCCCCTGCATTCCTTACAATTCTCTACCTTTTCGTATTCGTAGTGTACAATTTCGACTATTTGCAATTCATATGCATATTACTAAATGACTTTGACATGTTCTAGCAATGAACAAGTGCACGGATGTATAGACATCCGTTGTGAGAAGGATGATCTCTTCCTCCCCCGATTCTGATTTCTTCATTACGCTTGAAACGCATGCTCGAAATGCATTATTCTATGCATCAGGGTCTTCTTCGGAACCCTGCCAACCTTGTTCCTGAACTTCCTGAACTTTTGCGAGCGGAAGATGCGAGCGCGGAATTGCCATGCCAATTTCAATCCCTGGCATTCCACTACCTTCCTTGATTCATAGTGTACAATTTTTATCAATAGGCGTATACCTACCTACATATTGTAGAGGCTTCATAACAACCCAGTGGAGCGAGAACATTTGAAGCGAGGAGGATGATCTCCTCCTCCTCCCCCGAATCTCATTTCCCCGTCTCACTTGAAACAATCTCGTAAAGCTGGCAGTTCTACGTGTCAGGGCCCTCTTCAAAACCCTGCCAAGTCTGTACCTGAATTTCCAGAACTTTTGTCAGTGGAAGATACCAGGGTGCAGCGCGCAACGTACCAGTATTCCGTACCACTCTAACTTCCTCCATTCGTACTTCCTCATTAACGTCCACGTGTAGCTCGCACATAATTATAAATCTATTCAACACTTCTCAACAAGTAGTAAGCACAGTCGATCACGCAACAACGTGCATAGAATGATAATGTCCTCCTCCGCCCCCCATTCCAGATCCATCGCGCTTGGAACGCATTGACGAAACTGACACTTTTACACGTCAGGGTCTTCTTTGGAACAGTGCTATTTGCGTGCCTGGATACCTGTAACTTTCCGTTAGCGAAAGATCACGGCCGGCGGGTAGTTTTCCGTATCTCGTACCATTTCTTACATTCCTCCATTCGCAGTTAGTCGGATGTGCGCAATGACATCTCATGCATCTTTGCTAATTCCTAAGTAGCATTAGTGATATGAGACGTTGACAGGGCAAAGTGGACATACATTCCAAACAACAAGTAAAGATATGCTCCTGCTCTCCCGATTCTTCATCGCGCTTGAACCACACACACAGAAATTCCATCTTGATGTGTCAGGGTTCTATTCGGGTAGTATCCCCGGTGTCCCTGCACTTGTGATATCAGAAGTTCTGGTGTAAGAAGTTTGTGAGCAGGTGATGCTCACCAAACCGAATTCATTGGTTTATTGTATGCTTTCGGGTTTCTGTGATAAAAAAAGTTTCGGAATTTGTTTATTCATGTGGTAGAATCATAAGACACTCACTTGTGTAGGAAGTACCAAAGCACGTAAGTACATTCAGGTGTAGATGGCCATCGAACGTGTCCTCCATCTCCTCTCCCGATTCCGAATTGAAAAACGGCATTCTGAATTTTCAGCTGTCAGAAATTTATTCATCAAGGGTCTGATGAATGTACGTACTTTGATTTGGAACGACTTGGCTTGGATTTTTTTGAGGCGTTCTGAACTTTCGCAAACGGGAGCCATTCCCGCAATAGTAATGAAGATATCTGCGGATGTACATTAGTCGGTACTTCTTTCACAGATGGGTTGGAAGTACTTCGAGTGCACCCTAATAGAAAAGTAAATCAAACGCGGCCGGAGTGAGTCAAAGAAACCAATGGAATGGATGGATACGCAACTTACGCAAAGATCGTTTCCTCCGTCCCCGGTTCCTTGGATCCGAACCCTGCACGAAACGAGACTCGGACCCTGCTTCCGTAAAATTTCTACGTCAGTCACACCTCGGCTAGTTACTGCCAAGCGAGAAAACCTATAAAGACGGTGATGGTAAGTCCAGTATTTTTCCATCAGCGCCCACTTACATTCCCACTCCTCCTCCCATTCTTCTTCTTTCGTTGTCGACGTCCACTCCCCTTTCGTCGTCGTCCTCACAATCTTCGTCGTCATTCATTCGTAAGTCGTCTGCGCGTCGTCCGTCGTCGCTGATTTTGACGTTGCGTATCGAGTTTTTAGGCCCCTCCTTCAAGGCGAGATGTGACAGAATGCTAAATGGCAACCACGTACGTCAACATCGTCTTCATAACAGACAATGTTTCACTCACCTTTGCTTATATCCTTTTTTCTGCAGACTCGTGGTGACGGACTGATGACAAAGGTAAGTTTTTGGTAACGCGAGTCCTGCACCCCCTCCTTACCTCGTGCCCCTCAGATTCCCAACGTCTATGTGTCCACCCCGTTTGTACGCGACGTGCACCATCGGATTGTGATGGACAGCTTGGATGGGCGGAATACGCGTTGCGAGGTGTACAGGTCGGAATACGTCGGTTCTGCAAAAGGTACGTCAGTTTCGCTCGAGTATACACAATATGTACTCACCTGGATGCCTCTATCAAAGCGCCTCTCCCGCGTAACGACTGCCCTGAGCCGTCGATGAGTCTCTGGAAGGTACATTAGTGTCTTTCCGCGTTTGAACTAATCACTTACCTGTGTCGTATAGCGTCTACGTCGTTTACGACGGCGTGAATACCGACAAAACGTAAGTCGTCGACACGAATCTTGATAGAAACCAACTGACATGAGTTGTGGCTGAAGATTGTCGTTTGATGGGCGTTGTGGCTGTGGGAAACGGTGAGCACGAGTGTAACGTGACTTACCTCTCATCGTCACTCATTGCCATACACGAAGCCCTCAGCGTCGGCTTCTCCAACACGTAGTACGATGGACGCAACGTATGATTTGAGGACATAACCTGGTAAGTCCTTGACAATGCATTCAGAGACTTCGTGAACGCTTACCGTGATTGTGTACCATCAATTAGACGTCGACGACCCGACACATTTCGAGCAATACGGTCGTTGAAGGGATACGGGTGGATAGACGAGCAGATGGCGTAGAGAAAGGGAGGGGAAAGAAAGTACGTGCCACCCTAACGTCGTGCACAGTCTCCTCAACCTCACCCCTTCCTCTCCCTCTCCGTTCTCAGGCTATCAACCATCCCACAAGCGCAAAATCGTCACATTTGCGGTACTCTACGACCCCCCACTCGACTACGCCAATTCCACACACCTAACGAACGCCATGGTCCTCGTCCTCGCAGGAGGCAAGGTGTCCGTGTCCCACCCAACGTCAACGTTCTCGAATCTCCCGACGTCGTTCAGAGGGCACTGAAGACTGCCTGTTGCGTGGGGAGCTCGAATCTGGCGTAGCCCCTCTTATTAGTGACGACGCGCCCTCTGGAATCGTGCTAACCCAACATGTAGTACGACGGTACACGCGATGTAGCTTCAGCAGAGGTCGAGGGCGATATGCTGGTAAGTGGTTCTCAAGACATTCAGAGGTTTAGTGACTTACCGGGATTGCACACCATCAGCTGGACGTCGATAACACCATACGGTTCGAACAACGTGGTCGTCGTTTAAGGAATCCAGTGGGAGCGCAAAGAATGGTACGTCTGCCATGCACATATCCTCAACGTCACCCCTCCCGCTGCATCTCCGCGTCCGGGCTAACGGCCTTCCCGCCAGCACGAAATCCTCATGTCAGTGGAACTCCGCCTTCCTCGACTCGGCTGCGCCAAATGCGCTCGTCTAATAAATGCTATGGTTTTCGTCCTCGCAAACCCTCTTATCAGTGACGACGCGCACTCGGAACCATGTTCACCATAGAAGGCGACGCGAAATTCGGAGGCTGGTTGTTTGAGGAGTTGAAGGAAGGGTTTAGGGAAGCGAAGGTGCATCTGGGGGATCAGAAACGAGCGTGACGAGTGGTGGGGAATTGCCTCAAGGAGACGATTCGGAAGAACAAGGGCTCACGGGTGTTACCAAGGTAAGTACCTTCCTCGTATGTTTCCCCGCCCAAACTCAACCTTGCCCAGGTTGGAACGAGAGTGTCCGCGCCCCATCCCAACTCCAAATCTCTCGATTCTACCGACGTCGTTAAGGGGGAACTGAAGACCTCCTTTTGCGTGGAGAGCTCAAACCGCGTCTAGGCGACCAACACCCATTTATCAGTGACGACGTGCCCCTGGAAACCATGTTCACGATGGAAGGCAACGCGATATTCGGAGGTTCGTCGTTAGAGGTGTTGAAGGAGTGTAGGGAAGTGAGGTGCATCCGGGGGATTGGACAACGAGCGTGATGGGAGGGAGGAATCGTTACGCGAAATACATCTGTGGTTCAATAGAACAAACCTTGTCACGAAGATGGCAAACATTGCAGAGTAGTGGCAAACGTTCAAACAGTGAACGTTGAACGTTGAAAGTTGAAACCCGGACGTCGGACTATGCCAACGACAAGCAGCAACCCGCAATGACGTCACATGGCAATCGTCATTTTTCTGACGTCACGTTCTCACTCTCAACATCAATTGTCATGTCACTTCATGCCCATAAGCCCAACATCGTCCCCGCCATGCGTCTCGCCATACGTGGCGAGCAGCTCCTAACGTCGCCGCGCTTCAACAAAGGGACCGGGTTTCCTACGAACGAGCGTAAGGCCTTCGGTCTATCGTCTCGCATCCCTTACCGTGTCAACACCATCGACGAGCAATGCGAGCGCGCGTATGGGCAGCTGCGAGCCCGAGACACGCCAATTCGCAAGAATACGTTCTTGCAAAGTTTGAAGGACCAGAACTGGACGCTGTATTACGCATTGTTATCCAGGCATTTGAAGGAACTGGTGCCCATCATTTATACGCCAACAGAGGTGACGCGTCATTACATAAATCTGTTGACTCTATTCAAGAGCTTTCAGGGAGACGCTATTGCCAGTTACTCACACTTGTTTAGGCGCAGCGAAGGCTTGTACTTGACGTTTCCTGAACAAGATTCGATGGAACAAGATTTTCTGGAACAAACACAAGGGCGGGAGATTGACCTGTTCGTGTGTACTGATTCCGAAGCAATTCTTGGAATCGGTGACCAAGGCGTCGGAGTGAGTTTTTTTTTCTTATACCTTGCTTCGAAGCTGACACAAATCTAGGGAATTGGGGTATGTTCTTCATTAGGCTAGAATGGTACCCTACCGACAAAGCGTCTCCTAGATTTCGACAGCAAAATCAACAATGTATACGTGCGTTACCATTTTTCAAATAATTCACAACTGGCCGACACTATTGAAGGCTTGTTGGAGGGTTGGATCCGTCTCGCTCAGTTAGCGTGGTTCTCGACGTGGGAACAAATAACGAAGATCTTCTCAATGACCCTTTATACGTGGTAAGTTTTGTGATAATACTACCTCGCATCTCTCAGGGTACCCAGGGATGGCCGTTCAGTCGTGTCCGCGGAGAAGAGTACGATAATTTTGTGGACAAGTATGTTTTCCACAGTCATGCTGCCAGTGTTAGTGCAGCGTCATCGATATTTGTTGCAGATTTGTCCAGCTCGTTCGAAAATACTACCCCCATAGTCTTCTCCACTTCGAAGACTTTGGAGTGACCAACGCTCATCGCATCTTAGACCGATATCGCGATACACACGCCGCCTTCAATGACGATATGTATGTTTCTCGCATCCCAAACCACTCTATTGTCTTTAAATCGATATTCAGCCAGGGAACCGGCGCTGTAACTCTCGCATGCATCATGGCTGCCATCGGGGTCTCCAGCCGCTCGTCAGTTAAAGGACAGGGGAAACGCCTATCTGACCAGAGATACATTATTTTAGGTGCCGGTTCGGCCGGCATGGGTATCGCGGTGCAGATCCGTGACGCAATGATCACTGCGGACGGTGTCTCTAGAGAGGCTGCAAACTTGCGGTTTTGGATGGTAGATCGAGAGGGGCTGTTGTACCACCCCAGCTTCGAGGTGTCGGCGGAGATCGATTTACCCCACCAAAAGGAGTTTTATAGACCCGCCTCAGAAAAGTGGGACGAGATCATCAGGGTTGGAGCGGACGACGCATCGACGTGGGAGGGGGCGACTCCGAAGCAGATAAGGAGGAGGGTTGAGTTATTGGATACGGTGAAGGAAGTAAAACCGACGGTTTTGATTGGGTGTTCGACTGCTTCGGGGGCGTTCACGGAGGAAGTGGTCAAAGCCATGGCGGAGGCGCTGCAGCAGGAAGATCCAGGAACTAAGCCCATCATAATGCCTCTCTCGAATCCGGGCAAGTTAGTAGAGGCGAAGCCGGAGGACGTCCTTCGTTGGACGGGGGGCAGGGCATTAGTGGCGACGGGGAGTCCGTTTGGTAATGTGAATATTGATATACAGGGGAAAGAAAAAGAGTTCCAGTGCGACCCATACTCTCCTTTCATCCAAAATATTCGCCTAAGCGCTTTTTTATAGCATCGCGGAATGCAACAACGCGCTCATCTACCCCGGTCTAGGCTTCGGCGCCATCCTCTCCAAATCGCGTCGGATGACAGACACAATGCTCTTAGCGGGAGCACGTCGCCTCGCGGCTCTGTCCCCTGCCATCACATCCGCCCGTGTTTCGCACGACTATGGCAAGAAGTACGAGTACGCCGGTGAGGCACTCTTGCCTGACTTTGACGATGCCCCACGAGTGAATTTCGAGATTGGCGTAGCGGTGGCGGAACAGGCTGTGGTGGAGGGTAGTGCCCAGGCCTGGGGATGTGGAGAAGGAGAACATGCCGCTGATGGGGAGGAAAAGGAGAGGATTTTACATGAGGTGCGAGAACATGCTGCTAACAATGTGTGGGTCCCTGTCTATGCGAAGTACATCTATGATGAGGGGGGCCTGAAGGAGTAATTTGGCTGCTGACTCGGTGATTGAAATGTTGTAAGTCTGTAGATGATTAAATTGTTCGATGTCTAGCATAATTTGACTGGAGTACATTAAACGCCCAAGTGGTCTAACTGATCCTAAGATGAAAATACGAAAGTTTTGCAAGAAAGAGCGCTTGATGGCAGAGGGGGGAGATGATATCTCACTCATCCACCAAACCACCCCCGTATCCTTCACCTCTGCGCACGACGATCACGCCTCGTACAATTATAGCTACCAGCAAGAACGTTAGGAAAATCCTGACAAGAAATATGAGCGGGGGCGGCAGATAAGAGTCATAAAAACCGTACCATATCATCCAAGCAAACGCTATAAGGGCGTTCAGATGACCGCAGTAGACGAATTCAGTTTGGGTACTGTGCGAAAGGCATGAGTATCATGAAGCTGAGCGGCCACTGAGAATGTGCAGACACACCTGCAATGCAAATTCCCCCCTACCGACTGCGTAACCGCCGCCGCCGCCGCTACCCATAGAACCCAAGTCATGAATACACTGAAACAAATTTGAATCATCATTACTACGGGCCCCAGCTAGAACCAAATCACATCACTCACAAGATACCATGGGTCGCTATGCTCGTCAGGATGAATCCCGTCGATGCCACCAAAAACATGATCAGGAAGATGGTCCCAAATAAGACGGTCCATATCGAGACAAAAAGCGTGTACCGCACACGAGTGCGAAGGGACCGGTGGGTGAAGTTGTGACGGGCGTTGTACTTTGCGACGAGCCAAGCGGAAATGCTCAACTACAAACACAAGAAAGAGTGATTGAGACGGTGGCAAAATCGTCAGAGACAATGGTGAGCGAACCTCAATAATCGCAAACACTACAATGATGCTGAAGAAGACTGAAGACGAAATGCATTAGCTGGAGGCTCGAGGATGTGAATAGTGCTTACGCGGGTGGGCCCATCTGAAGAAGTCTGCCATTGTGTTTGCTGGTTACTTGTGAAGATACCATCGTCGTACGGTTTTGTGGGTGGAACTGTTTGACTGTGATGTAATTCCTCATGTTTCAGGAGAAAAATAAAGACTGACGAAATGGGTTTGTTTTCCACTCTGCAGCCAAGCAACAGTATTACGTCCGCAACAGCATCATGATTGTGGCTGTGAGTCTGACTTGATTTGGGATGACTGGCTCGTCTTGTCCATTATTTGTACGTCCAATGCCCTTTCACGCGTCGATCTCCTACAGCTTCGCTATTAATTGGTTGATAACACGAGCACTGATTATTTCTGCGAGAAAGGATTGACTTGATGTTATTTGAAGCTCTAAAAGCAAAAGTACATAACGACTCATACAAGATCCTAAAGAGTCATCGCGCGCGGTATTGGGTAGTGTGTAAAGGGTAGAACCTCGGCCATGAGCCTTTTAATTTGATCTCAGTTCGGCCTCGGCCTCGGGGTTCAGAACTTTTCCTTCGCGTGTTGATTTGAATAAATTTTTACGGTCAACAGAAAAGCATTCGCGAGCGGCATTTCGTGTTAGAGAATCTCTGCGAGGCCCTGTTTTTGACTTTATTTTGAACTTCATCGCTACGTTCTGGTGGAACCACGTTCAAACTGCTAGACCACGCTCAGATAGAAGAGTACAGCATTCGTCGAAGAGGAGTGGATTAAACTCCATATATATTGTTCTCGAGAACGTTCTACCACTTTTTTGTACCGTTGATGTCGGTCGTATCGTTATGCCTGTGTTGTCCTAGATCGAGATGAAAAACATACAGTCATTTTGCGTTTCAGCGCCCAGGAAAAAAAAAAGCATATAAATTCCTGCTGGCCTCCATGTTATATACCTACGAATTACCCCACCAGTTCACCTGCACTCCCAACTACTTCGAAATGTCCTACACAAACAATCCATACGCACAAGGTGGCTGGTACAACCCCCAAAACCCCCACTCAATAAACAGCCAGCCCTGGCTACACTATTCCCATCCCGCCACATACGGTGTACTTCCTTCCGTCGAAACAACTCCGCCAACAAAATTATCATTCGAATTCTCTCCTACACATCCAAATATTTTGAACAGCAGCGTCACCGGCCCAGGGTCTCAAACGTACCTGAGCGCCATGTCCGTCCAATATTCAACCATAGTCACGAAGAGCAATGGTGATCCTGTGGCTCGAATCGAGTGGCACACACATCCGTGGGTTGAGGTTCCGGGTGTTGTTGACAGACAGCTGGTCTCGCAATGGTTGCCTCTATCAGCTGATATGAGCTACCGAGCGATGCAGGTAAAAGGACGAAATTACTATTGGGTTCCTCATAATGGTGCAATCATCTTGAGCGCTTGGCCTAATCAACTTGATGGGCATCTGGGGCGGGTAACGCGAACAGTCAATAAGGTGGATTTGGAGCTCACAGCTCAAGCAATATCTGCAGGCCTGTTGAGGTCGCAGTGGTTGCTACGCTCCTGCTGCAGTCCGGGAGAAACCTAGAGTAACCTTTCTTATACTATAGCCCTGTCATCCGCTAACAGTGAACGGTGGAATTACCAGTAGTTCCCTCCGTCCATCTTACCTAGCGCCGTACTGTAAATCATGTATTATAGACCCCTAACGATGACGGCGCCAACGTGAGGCTAAAACCACCTGGAGGCCACTTCACGAAGCGTCAGGTTGTTCAGTGGAATATAAAATTCCAACAAAGTTTGCGCGGCGCGCCAGAAACGACGTCAAGAAAATAGACGGAGTACATAAACTGTGTCCCGTGACGATTATTTCATGCTCGGATGTCGTAACGGATCAGTCCTTTTAATTACCGTTCCGAGACTAGCGGATCATCCGTAGGATTATTCAACGTTGGCTTAGGTTGGCTTGTGTAGATTGTGGGCCCCACAATCAATGTGGGGAAAGTGTTGCGAGTCGCAACACTTGCGACTTTGTGTTGAAGAACCAGTCCAGCCATTTGGCTTTTGGCGGATGGGACTTGTACCATCCAATCACGGAAAACCTGTATACATCAGATGCGTCAAGTTAGGTTCCTACATAGAAGGAACAAAAGGAAGACGATGAATCCTGACCCTACCCACCCATTCCAGGGTGGGCGCGATAATTGCACCGCCGGAAGCTGCCACAGCTTTTGCGATGCCAAGAAACATTGTCATTCCAAAAAAATGAATGTCATAGGGCATGGGCGTGACTAATGGCCGAGGTAATCCGCTGGAATGAATCTCTCTGAGTCTTTGTGAAGGGACGTACCAGCGTGGTACGATTGGCCTTTCATGCTGATGGATCTCTGTGAGGCCCTATTCAACGGAGTTTGAGGTATCGCTCGAGAAACGTACTTGTGCGTCCTGCGAGTCGATGCGCGCTGATTTCTGAGATCCCACCTAAGTTCAACCAGGGAGTGAATGTGAAAGACGAGTAGTGGAAGTTCGTAATCGAGGGGATCCGAGACTCTTCTGCTCCGAACTTATATATTACCATATGGCGATCGTACCCTTTTCCAGCGCCGAACCTCAAACATTATGAATAAGAGAGTGGATATATAGTTAGAATGGCAAGGAGTGACAAATTAATCGTGCTAACTCTGATAGTCCTTTCGGCGCTGACCCTGACTAAGGACGTGAGGGTAGGGAGACGAGAAAGTACTCTTGAAGTCTGGTGAGTCAATTCACTCGGAATCACGCGCTACCAGATCAATATCTCAGCTTTGTGAGTCTTCATAAATTGAGTATAACAGACCTGCAGCACGCTTGGTATCTCTCTCCGAAAGGTCTCGTTTAGCTTTGAGATTCACATCTTAGCTTGACTCCCCTTTGGAAATTTAACATGACAGACCTGCGGCACGCTTAGGGTCTCTCTCCAAGAGGTCTATGTCTCGTTTGGCTATTGGCCAACATCTTAGTTTGCCTTCGAAGATGTAAAGTACGACTGACCTGCAGCTCGCTTGGGGTCTCTCTCCGAGAGGTCTGTGTCTCGTTTAGCTATTGTCCAACACCTTAGTTCAATTACCCTTCAAAGATGTGAAGTACGACTGACCTGAAGCTCGCTTAGGTTCTCTCTCTAAGAGGTCTGAATCCCGTTTAGCTATTGGCCAACATCTTAGTTTGATTACCCTTCGAACTTATGTAAAGTACGACTGACCTGCAGCTCGCTTAGGGCCTCTCTCCGAGAGGTCCAAGTCCCGTTTGGCTAAAAAAATCGATATCTGAGTTTTTCGCCACTATCAAAAGATGAATAGTACGACGGACCTGCGGCGCGCTTCGGGTCTCTCAAATCGAGGTCCCGTTTGGCTGTATCTAATTTTATTACTCTCCAGAGATTGAACATATGACGGACCTGCAGCGTTAGCGGTAGAGGAGAGATCATTCCGAGAGAGGTTGAGGCTCCCGAGCGGAATTAGCAGAGCCGAAGAGATGTAGACCAGAGAGAGAAGCAAGATGAAAAGGATAGAGCGGAGTTGAAACATTTTGGTTGAACAGTGAGAGGCGGAGAAGGAAGGAATCGGAAATGAAGATATGGTAGTTGAACGTTGAACGTTGAGGCTCGAGCCTTATAAGTGCGTTTGATTATCCTTGGCGCCGCCACGCTACAATGTGGACGAAATGAAAATTAGGTACCAAGTCTGTCAAAAACAACTGTCGAGCGATCCCTGAATGACCGACTGTTCAAGACCAATATTGTTGTAAGTCGAGAAAAAATTTCGAAGAGAAATATAACGGTGTTGACTGTTCACGATTTTATATGCTTGAAAACAAATTGCAAACGAGAAAGAACTCAACACGGCCCCACGGGACTCTGGTCTTGTCAAACCCCTCAGGGACAAATTGTTGCCAAGAGTTGAGCTGGCTGACAAGCAGAGGGCACGCTGTGTGACTTATCTATCAATGGCGTGTCGAAAAGGAGGAGTGGGGTCGAGTGAGGTTGAGTTTGAAAACCAAAACACGGTGAGGCGGTGGATAGGATATCAGGATGGACGTGGACGTTTAACCCCTCCGTCCCCTCCTCATCCGCATCCAGGCCAATCTCGAGTAAAGTGTGGCTTCGGAACACCGTGACCCTTCCTTTTTCCTCCCAAACACGCGTTGCAGACACCCATTCGCTCGGCATCATCTTCCCTACCACTGTCAACGTATCCACCTACAAGGTCTCTATCATGGCTCAACGTCACCACGGAAGCGTACCCCCACGCACTAAGCAAGCAGCTGCCACCACTGTCTCTTGTTTAGGCTTGGTCTAGGCACACGGCGAGACAGATACATAAACGTATTCGGACCCGCTGTGCTTTGGAAGTAGGCGGGGCGGGTAGTGACAGAGATGGGTAGAGAAGTGGCCAGGCCGCCAAGGTCGTCTGTGAAGATTGAAACTCTTTTAGGCGATGACGGGATAATGCCGGTGAAGGGCAATCTCGCAATAACGCACTCTTGACTCTTCACACGGACTCTTCCGACGGTGACAACTTCCACACCTTGACGTTCAATCTCTTCCTCCTCCGAATCGATCGCTCACGAAGATGGGAGTATAAGCCAAGGCTTGAGCTTGATCCTTGAAGATGGCCATGATCGAGGAGAACGACGATCAGGCGGGTGACGGCGGAGTGGACGTCGTTGCGTGACGTGTACAACGTTGCGCATCACTCATTATAACCACAACAGGTCGACGTCCGGCGAAGTGCGGATGTCGAGAAAGCCGTCATTGTGGACTTTAATGAGATATGGATCGACACTGAGCGCCAAATCGGTTCGGGGCCTGTGTTGACGAGACGCCTTTCTCAGCGCTTTGCGGGTTCGCCCGTTGGCACAAATCTACGCTGTTGACTCCTTTCAACGGCCGACACCTCAGACGCACATTGTTCTCTCATCAACGTCGCGCGGCCGACTTCCCCAGTTGGGCCATCTAAGTTCTAAGCTGAAGACGTGACGGATGGCGGATATGAAATCGGGAAACAAGTCATTCCAAGGGTGTTTTCTCCAAGGTTTCTCCAGAACCTACTTCAAAACGTAAGAGTGCTTATAACACTTCTGCAAACCTATTTGATCACTGGATCCAAATTGGATCGGAAAATGAATCACGGTTGACACACCATATCTCTCTGTCTGGGAGTCGAACCCAGCTTCCGCACACATCGGGAAATCCAGTGGCACATCATTATGGGAGGTGCGTGTACTCGCCGATATACTAACAAAGAGAAGATTGAATATAGGTAATTTTCTCAGGTGTTGAGTGTAACTCGTCGTCGGATGGTGAGCGTGCCAAGATTGGAATTGACGAGACACCGGTGAAAATGTTTTTTTTTTCATACTGGCTGGAAGTAATTCTGACCATCCTTCTGTCTGGAGCAGGATCCAAGCTCAAGGACTCGGATGTGTGAAGGAGTGCTACCAGAAAGGGGCACGTGACGAAACTTGGTGCGCACAGACCACCAGTTGCCTTTTGCTCCTGCCACGGCTTCCGTCTCTGCGCAGGGCCCATCGCCTGGTAGTATGTCTTCTGCTTCAATCCATCGTGACTCTCTCCATGTTTGCCGATAGCCGCGCCTTCATCCAGGTTTTTCTGACGTACAAGACATTCCCTCCTTATTCAACGTTATAGAAGAGCTGGAAACAGCGTTATCGCTTGGTTCTAAATCGGGCTCAACGAGGAACAAGTCGGGGTCCGGATGGACGACGACGAGGCGGAGGCCGGACTTTCCTCGTGTCAACGAAACGTCCGATAGAGTCACAGTGGAGGTGAGCTTACCATTCGCATCCCTTCCGTTTCCCCCGCTGAGTCCCTCTTTGCTCGCGTGCTCTTTCTGCCGGTTCTTTCTCATGGCCCTTATTGCTGGAAGGTGTACCGCCTATCTGGCTCTCTTCACCTCCAATTTTACGACGTCGCCTCACCTCACCAGAGCGCATATACTAAGCTACACAATTACCAGGAACGCAAATCGGTCCCGTCAATGCGTCTCTGCTTCCCACCGTGGTTCTGGGCATGTCTACGAAGGGCGATAGAATCGTGATTGCGTAGATCGTGAAGGAAGCATGCAAGTGTATGCGCCAGAGGATTATCGCGTGGAGGGAGAACGAGAGTAAGATGTCGATCCTTGTGAGTATTGGGGGCATCCCGGGTCGAGATATGAGTTCGCGATTGCGTGAGGGGGATTTAGCTTGACAACTGGTGAGTGGGGATTTGTGTCGTTCTATTTGTTACTTTGCTCATTTATATACAGTACAGGAGGCTTGTACACTCGTAGCCATTCCCTATTGTCAGAACGTTGTAAAGAACTGTGATTGATGGAATGATCAAGGGAGATACGCGACCGCTTATCAAAACTGGGGTAAGCTGTGGGACCGAGGCCGGGACTTACATAAATCCATAAAGCCACGTCTTTACAACTTTTGCCTTGATCCTTCTCTCACTGCATCCAATTAGTATGCCTCATTTTCGAGCATATAAATTGGTTTCTGGGCAGGGAATCTTTCAAGAATCGAAATGTGTTTTCATTGAGGGTGGTTGATAGTATGCAAGCATCTGCATTAATTTGCCCTTCTAGGAGACAGTGGGGGTTAATTCAGGATGAGGAACGGTTGCACTCTAACACAAGAAATCATCTCTATTACTTTTTTGCGTTCGAAAATTGTCATCAAACTGCTCGTCAGTCACTAGTCATCAACTACCCTCAAGATCTCTTCCGTAAAAATGCTGGCAGCCTATGCTTGTTGAAAGTTGAACGTTGAACCCTCTCTTTGAGAGTCAAACCCAACTTTCGCGCGTGGACTATCAAACTCCATCAGATTAAAAGTGCAGGGTGATGTGGAGATGAATTTGAGCCGACGCATGTCATGTCATTCGATACCCCCAGTCCACGGCCGATTGGTACGCTGTCGGATTCTTTTCCCCCTTCGCCTCAGCTGCATAAATAAGTTTTTTTAGAAGGGACTCTGAAGATCTTTGTTCGTATATTGGACAATACACGCGCCTGTCATCAAGGGTTTGCGGAGAATGCACGTCTCACGCGCGAAAGCTGGGTTCAATCCCCAGACAAAGAACTAAGGGTTTTTTTTAAAACTTTTTGTATTCATAGGTGAACATTGGCGTCTCATGACGTTATAGACGTGTGTAGTTTGCGTCGAGCTTAGGTGCGATAGGGCGCGTGCCATTAGAATCACTGGAGAACTGACGATGGCCATTCGCTCACACGTACAAGTAGCCTGAGATATTTAGGAAGCACCAAAAAAAAACTATATTTTTCCTCACGAAGAGCCTCTGTCTGGGAATCGAACCCAGCTTTCGACCATCAGGTACTGTACCATTTCGATCAATTCGACACCGACGTGACTTTTTTGCGATTTTGAAAAATCCCAGAAAATCGGAAAAATCGGGAAAAAATTAAATCCGCAATAAAAAAAATTGACCGTGACGCGTGACAGTCGAATTGATCGAAATGGTACAGTATTCCAGATCTGAGATGACAGGCACCCGTACCGACCAATATACCAACAGAGACGTTGGATATTGGGGTGTATGGCAGGCGTTGAACCTGGCTTGGGAAATGCGTGGTGGCCTTACATCGCACGGGTTTGATGTAGACCTCTATCGATAAAAACCTGGAGAGGAATGTACCGAATCTGTCTGGATGGGAATCAGCTTCCAACAGAGAGGTTATGGGGGTAGTCTTTGTTAGGATTTCAACTGTGAGTCTGTGACAAAGGAATAGAAAAAGCGCTCGTCAGTGCTTTCCGGCCTGTACAGCGGGCTTACGGAGAAAAATTAACAAGGCTCTCACATACTCTCTGCCTGGGAGTCGAACCCAGCTTTCACGCGTAAAGGACATTGAATATTGAATGACCGATACATGACAAACGTGTGTACCGGCCGATGTACTAACAAAGATGTTGGAGGGAGGTGTGTTTATGTTCTGATGTCAATGGTGGAGTTCTTGATTGCGATGCAATACTTAGTAGATGATTGAGTTTCTTCAATAATGAAACAGAAAAACTTGACTCGTCTAACCTACACTAACTCACAATAAAGAATGTCACATGGTTTTTTTTACAAAGTTGGCACTATAACACAAGAACCAAACATTTTGAAAACTATGCTCTGGTGTATGAAACATAGCTAACATAGTGTAGATTGTACATACCAAGTCTGGGGATGAACAATTGAAAACTCAGGATAAGGCAGGGAATTGACTGTGACAAGTGCCAAAAATGGGATGGGAAATTCTGAATGACTGCAATCTACTGGAAGTCATTTACAACTTGAGGAAGAGATATTTTGAACACTGGGTCTCCCTGCTATTGTTATGAGCTACATAAGGTTTCTGGGCCAGAAATTTTATATCCTCCTCTAAAAGGTAAATTTGAACTTGTTTTCCATTTTATGTATTTTTCACCCAATATATTTGTTGGATTGATGTGAAATGACTCCCCATCAATGTTTGTAGTGTGTATAATACAAAAGGTAGGTAGAAATGTCAAAATGAACATTGCATGATGTCGTAGAAGC